CAATTGATTTATTTTTCTAGTTGGCTGTGTCTCTGCAATGAAGTTCTGAATTTCCAGTTATGCATGCTTCACAGCATAGAAACGATTCACTTCAAAATGTCATGTTATGTATGATACAGGGCCGCTTTGGGGTGAGAGGATAAATCTGTGTACGTGTTATATATTTAGATATATATTTGGGGAAATGACATGGGAGGAGAAGTCTACAAGAGAAAGTTGCAGTAGTGTAGTCACAAGATGACTAGAGCACAAGTTTAAGCAACAGGTAAATGAGTATGGGAACACAAATGCCCTCGAAAGAGGGAGTGGACTGTATAAACCTTCATATACATACTGTAGGTTCTGATGTGTTTGTACCTTGTTAAATGAGTCTATTGCTTTGCTCAGCTGTATGAGCATAGCGGCCCCTCCAAGAACCGTTGAAGACAAAATGTGGGCAGCCCCTCATCTTGCATGAACACGTGAAAAAATAACAGATTTATCTGCTAATAACAGTAATTAAGAGGGAGAACACTACTGATTTGATCTTCCCCCAGTTCTGCTATCATACTACTTGGAGCTAAACCATGGTCTGTCTGAACCTGGGCTTTAATGCCAAGGTTTGTTGTAACCAAGGTTTGTTCTTGGCTTACCTAGGCTTGCACTAAGCCAAACCAGGGCTCAGCTGTTGGTAACGTGCAGTAGGAGGACCATGGGAAAGGTGAAGCAGCCCTGGTTTAGCCTGCGAATAGCCGCACACATTCATGCTTTGGCATGGTTTGCCTTAGTGCTGCATGCAGACTGGGCCATTGTATGCTTACAAATGCTTAGAAGCCCTCCTTTGTGCTGTATCTGTGATGGTTTAAAGAGCTCGGTGATATTGGAGACAGGGCTTGTGTGTGGCCCTTAAACCATCTGTGTTGGGCCTTGCATCTTCAGGAAAATGCCTGAATGGACTTCTCCACCTTACTTATCCATATTCAAAGTTTTTCCCTAACCTCTGCCTGTTGTTAATCTGGTGTAGGTCACCCACTCTGTTCCCTCTTTAAATCCCCCTTTAACTGTGCCTTATTATTTTTTAACAGTCCATGTCTTTGCTTCTTGACCTTCCTCGTTATTGCCAATCAATCCCCAAAGCACTTTTACGCTTGTTGCAGGTTGATTTTAAGTGTCTGCAGTTAAACGTCTGTGGTTTCAGCATACTATTGGTAGGAGTGTTAAATAAGTGCCAGAAATAGCACTCTAAATGTTTTTGTCCAAGGAGGGGAGCTAACCTGTGGCCATCCAGATATTGCATCTAATCAGCCCCAGCCAGCATGGTCAATAAGAGTTAGTTTGCCAACATCTGGAGGGACAAAGATTAGCTGCTCCTGGATTAAGATTTGCTAGATCAACCAGAAGAAGCCTGGAAGGATACTTGTTCATACTTCTTGCAAATAGAAGCAAACAGCTGCTTACCTATTTCTACCTTTACTTTGAAATTTTTGTTCTATGAAAATGGAAAATACAGTTTGACAAACTGTCTGCTATACTATATACCATGAAAGGTGATATAAATATAAAAATATAAGAGGTGGAACAGAGAGGGTCTGCCATCTTAGAGTCAAAATATATGCCCATTCCTGGGTGCAGCATTATATTCCAGAACCTTCTTTAAGAATGAGAATCCTGGATAGTTTTCAAGCTTTGAACAAGGTAACCCATATTTGATGCATTTTATGTTACCCCTCATATGTAAAAAATAAACTGGCAATACTTAACATCTATCAAATCTATGCTATGATTATAGGTAAAGGTACCCCTGCCCGTACGGGCCAGTCGTGTCTGACTCTAGGGTTGTGCGCCCATCTCACTTAAGAGGCCGGGGGCCAGCACTGTCCGAAGACACTTCCGGGTCACGTGGCCAGCGTGACAAGCTGCATCTGGCGAGCCAGAGCAGCACATGGAATGCCGTTTACCTTCCCACTAGTAAGCGGTCCCTATTTATCTACTTGCACCCAGAGGTGCTTTCGAACTGCTAGGTTGGCAGGTGCTGGGACCGAACGACGGGAGCGCACCCCGCTGCGGGGATTCGAACCGCCAACCTGACGATCGGCAAGTCCTAGGTGCTGAGGTTTTACCCACAGCGCCACCCGCGTCCCGCTATGATTATAGGTATAACCTAAATTATAGGCATACTCTTGTAGTATTAATCCAGCCACTGAGTCTAGTGAATTTCATCATGAAATATTCACCCTCCAATTGGTGTTACTTCTGCCACATTCAACAAACTTCGAAACCTTATTTTGCCATTGACCTTTCAGCTGTATTCTTTCCTACACTACATTTCCTACATACTTTCCTACACTGCCATGTTCTTCAGTAGATCAGTTTTATTTATGCTTTTCCTCTAGCACGGCTGTAGTAAATCAACTTGTTTCAGGCTGCTCTTGAGAACATGAATGTCCAAAACACTGCAAACCTCCAACATAGGATGGAAGAATTACTAAGCCCAGCAGCATATAACCTTTAACCTTTACTGTCAATCTTCTCCAACTCTTGTGCATTCCTGATTTGGCCTATTACTGACCCTAGTGTTGTGTAACAATGCTACATTTTATATTATTTTATAAAGAATGTGGTGGTGGCGGTGGGAGAAAAGAGTGGGGGATTCTGGTATGTCTGGTGATGTGATGGTGGATCTCACCCATGGTATACCATATCGGCACTATATTGAACAGGTATGGGGAAACCTCAAGCTTTTAGCCTCCAACTCCTGTCAAGGATGGTCAAACCCTACGCCAAAGGATAAATGGACATAAATCTGGTATTGGGAATCACAAGACAGAAAAACCAGTAGGAGAACACTTCAATCTCCCAGGAGATCTCAAAGTAGCTGTCTTATTACATAAGAATTTCAGAAATAGGCTGGAAAGAGAAGTTGCTGAATTGCAACTTATTACCAAACTCAAAACCATGGAGAGACCTGGTCTGAATAGAGACATTGGATTCTTATCTCATTATACATGATAAAGTTATTTTTAGCCACCTCACCCTTTGCTTTTTCCTCTAAGACCAATTGCAGTCGTTAACAGTCAACAGGTTTACCACACCTATCAGCCAGTCACCCATTCCCACCACCCTTCTGAGTAATACCCCTCCCACCCTCTCACTATATATAAGGGACTGGTGACTTCTGTTTCAGTGTATCTGAATAAGTGTGCATGCACACGAAAGCTCATACCAACAACAAACTTAGTTGGTCTCTAAGGTGCTACTGGAAGGATTTTTTTTTATTTTGTTTCGACTATGGCAGACGAACATGGCTACCTACCTGTAACTAGAAGGATGGCAACTGTAATCCAACATCCAGAGAGCAACAAGTTCCCTGCACCTGACACAAAAGTAAATATTAATTGGCCCTATGACAGAAGCAACAGGGCGGGTTGTAATTATCAGATACAAAAAGAACAGAGCTGTCAAGATTCCAGACACAACTGCAGAAGCTGTGTATTTCACAAAATGTCAGGTTCAGATTTCTGTTCACGCATGTGCTACCTCACAGGGTTTCTGCAAGGTGGCAATTCAACACATGCTTCAATTAATTGTCTGGAGAAAGTGCATGATTCAGATGTGTTAAAAATAAATGGTTCCCTTCACACTTACTGCTGCTTTAGACTTCTGTCCTACGTGTAGAGCAGTCGATGTTGCACACCTTAGACTGTAGAAGCATGAAGTTGCTGTGAGAGTTTCTCTTGCAAAGCACACTAATTTTCACTTTATAAAGGTAAAGAGACCCCTGACAGTTAGGTCCAGTCATGGACGACTGGGGTTGCGGTGCTCATCTCGCTTTATTGGCCGAGGGAACCAGCATACAGCTTCCGGGTCATGTGGCCAGCATGACTAAGCCACTTCTGGCAAACCAGAGCAGTGCACGGAAACAGCATTTACCTTCCCGCTGGAGCGGTACGTATTTATCTACTTGCACTTTGATGTGCTTTCAAACTGCTAGGTTGGCAGGAGCAGGGACCGAGCAACGGGAGCTCACAGGGATTCAAACCGCCGACCTTCCAATCAGCAAGCCCTAGGCTCAGTGGTTTAGACCACAAAGATTAAATATGAACATCCAAGACATTTCAAAAGCAACCGTGCCTGTCCTATATGATGAGTTATCCCATAAATACTGCATGAAGTGCCCTCAGCCTGGTGAGGACTTAAAATCCCTCATTGTAACTCTATATACCAGGGATGTCCAACCAGTAGATCGTGATCTACCAGTAGATCCCTGGCTGATCCTGGTAGATTGGGATCCTTATCATGTACAAAAAGTTATGGGGGGAAAAGCTAAAAAACTGTGCAATCCTCCCCCAAAAAACTCAACTCTGGGCAATCTACCCACCCCACGCACGCTCCTCCTCCCTCCAATGACAATGGGTAGATCACTGCCAGTTTTTTTTATACTGGGAGTAGATCACAGTCTCTTGGGAGTTGGACATGCCTGCTATATACCAACTTAAACTACAATAATTATTCAGGGAGTTCCTTAATGCAGATAATGATACAGAATTGGAATCTAATACAGTGGTACCTTGGTTCTTGAAGTTAATCCATTCTGGGAGTCCGTTCGACTCCTGAAACCTTTCAAAAACCAAGGAGTGGCTTCTGATTGGCTGCAGCAGCTTCCTGCACTTAAGTGAAAGCCGTGTCGGACGTTCAGTTTCCGAAAAACATTCGCAAACCAGAACACCTACTTCCGGGTTTGTCGCATTTGGGAGCTGATTTGTTCTGACAACTAAGCCATTTGAGAACCAAAATACCACTGTATTTCTGGTTTACTGTAATTCCTCTCAATGTGCCAGTTCCGAATCTGGCTGGAGTAAAATGAGGGGGGGAAAGGAACACTGAAAACTCAGCTTAGGAAAGACGGATATGAGAGTAAAATACAGACGATGTTAGATTTTCTAAGCAAGTGAACTACAGGAAAAGGGTTGCTAGCAAGCACAATGCAGTCCTCTCCAATTAAGTATGAAACTGACACACTATTTGGGCAGTTTGTACTTTATTACAATTTTCAACTGTTAGTACTCTCATATCTGGACATTTTAATTTAGATTTACAGCTTCAAAAAACACTTTTACAGGATTTTAGTCTTGATGATTAACCAACTACACTGTACACAAGTTTAACTGCCCATCTTAATTTTTTGCCAAATTGAAAACAATTCAAAGGCTATTCAGATCTGTGTTTGTGTTCAAAGTACAGAAAAAACTCCGTTTATTGAAAAAGAATAATCTGTCACACATTCATATTATCAGTTCCACAAACTTAAGATTCAAGGAGCATACACAAAGCTATACATCTGTTTCATTTTTATTAAGAATAATTCTTAGTAGGTTATGAAGAAATTAATCCATTGAGTCTGAAGAATTTTCCAAAATCTGTCTTCATGAAGATATGTTCACCAATAAACAGTAAACTTTAGCAGAACTATTATACACTGGGCAAAACAGGCTGATATCAAAAAGCAACATGCAACAACAGAAAAAAAGATACAATATAAAGGAAGACAATCTGCTGAATATTGAAAACCTCAAAGAGCTTGTTGCAACTGGCACAAAAATGTTCTACCAATCAGATTCAATGCACACAAAGGCAAAAGTGGGTTGACAGAACCCAAGGGGTTAATTAAATGTTCCTCAGTGCAGAATATTTGAATAGTGTTTTAGAGCATTTTTCTGGCGAACAATAATAGGAAGTGTTTTTATAAGAGAGAGAAATAAATATAAATGGAATGCTAGATTAAGTCAGCAGACTGTCTTAAGGAATGAAGTAAGATATCAGTAACTTAAAGAAGAAAAGGGGGAAAATCTTTTTAAAATGTACTTAATTTAATTGGGGCTCAAGAAGCATTCAAACAGATTTCAAAAGTCACAACTATATTCAGGCATTTAGGCTAACAATAGAAGTAAAAATCAGAAGATACACTTTTTCCAAATTAAGGAGTTTTCTTTTTAACCCAAGCATATTGTTACCCTGGCAACATATAGCTTGGGTGAAGAATAATTGGCAACAAAATAAGTCAAAATGCTGTAATATCCTGCCCAAACCAGTTCCAGATACTGTACTGTATAATAACCAAGATGCAAACTAATTTTGATGTAACAAGCCTAGACCACTTATATCAAACATGTCCCTGGTGCGAAAGTCATCCAGTTAGCGCTTTGATAGCTCATTTGACAGCCAGTCAAGTCCCTCATACAGACCAGTTCCTTGTGTAGCACAGGTAGCTTGAACATACCACTGTTGGGAATGAGAAAGTGAAATATTTAATATAATACAGTCCATTTTTGAGCATGTTACAGCTCTCCCAGACAATATTCTCATGCCCCCCCCCCACATCATGCAAGGCAAATTCAAACATCAGAACATAAAGGAGCTCACTTGGCCAAGGCATAGATTAGAACACGGCAGAAAGACCAAGTAAAGTGAAAAACTAGAAGGGCAACACAGGCATTATGAAATCTATAGCTGAAACATCAAATGAAAGGTCTTAAAGAGCTATCACTCAGCATAAAGGGAATGTAGTCAGTCCATAGAGCTGCTTAAGACAGGAACATACAAGGAGGACATTCCACCACCCAAAAATGTAAAGGGGTAAGACAGATGCCATCTCTAGTAAACACACACACACACACACACACACACACACACACGACTTTATTGTATGGAACTATGACTAACTATGACTACCAGAAAAGATAAATAGTAGTCATTTTCTCTGCGCAAATGCATGATAACAGAACAGTAAAGGCAAAGTAAAGGGACACCTGACCATTAGGTCCAGTCGTGACAGACCCTGGGGTTGGTCATCTTGCTTCTGGCAAGCCAGAGCAGCGCACGGAAACGGCGTTTACCTTCCTGCCAGAGCGGTACCTATTTATCTACTTGCACTTTGATGTGCTTTTGAACTGCTAGGTTGGCAGGAGCAGGGACCGAGCAATGGGAGCTCACCCTGTCACGGGGATTCGAACCGCCAATCTTCTGATCGGCAAGTCCTAGGCTCTGTGGTTTAACCCACAGCACCACTCGCATCCCTTTTAACAGAACAGTACTAGCTCCAAGAACAACCTTCAGTGATTTAAAACCTAGCAGAGGAACTCAACAGTTTGGATCCAAGGATAGCCTTGTTAGGCATTTCTACTTACAGAGAATGGGAAAGAAAAGTACTTGCTATTCATACGTTCCAACCCACAGAATATATCAAGATGGGGAGAAAAGCCACATGGCAAACTATTTTTGCTTTACGGTACTTACAGTTCTGTTGCGCAGGGACTGAAGGCCTAGTTTATCTGTCATTTCACTTATTGCCATGGCATTTGGCAAGTCTTGTTTGTTTGCAAAGAGAAGCAGCACTGCATCTCTCAACTCGTCTTCCTGAAGCTGGAGAAAGGAAACACCATGCTAGTTATTTCCCCTATTGATAGTTGTTACCACCAAAAGTACAAGTTAGGGAGGATTTGGGGCTGGCAATATTTTTGTCCTTCACATTTCTCCCAGTAGTTTTCAGTAGCTAGTTGATTTAGTTACCATCAGTGCATGTAAGCAACTCAGACAAGAAACACTATGTCAAGTTAGGGTGATAGTTGCAAGAAGGATTTCACTGAAACCCAATAGGGAAATTCTGAGAACCACCACCTCTCATATTATTGCCTCTAAACACAGAACAGTGCATCCTAACATCCCACACTAAAATATCTGATGTTTTTGTAAATTAACCTCTCAATTTTATTAGCTATGGAGGACTAAACCATCGGAGTCAGACGAAGAAGGAGTTCAGATTGAGTTAGAGGCAGTTACCATTTTCTGGAGTTCTTCTGCTGCTTCCTGGATTCTCTCTCTGTCGTTGCTATCTACCACAAAAATGAGACCCTGAAAAGAAAGTGTATTTCTCATCAAGCTTGTTTGACATCTGAAATACCATTCAAATAAAATCTGAAGTCACCATTATAGAGATATTTAATGAATCTTTACTCCTGTGACAAATGGCAACATATGCAAGAAATCAGAAGGTATCAGAGACCAAAGATCCATGCGAACTATTCTATCACAATGGGCTAACACCTCAGAAGGGCCAGGGACACTAACAGTTTAGTCTCATTGTTTATTTTTAAAGCAACAGTAACATATTACAACTTCCAGCAGAAAGCAATACAGTGGTGCCCCGCAAGACGGAAAACCCGCTAGACGAAAGGGTTTTCCGTTTTGGAGGCGCTTCGCAAAACGAATTTCCCTATGGGCTTCCTTCGCAAGACGAAAGCCCATAGGGAAATCTCCGGGACAGCAGGGAAGCGCAGCGCGTCTTCCCCACTGTCCTCGGACCTCCTCCGAAGGCTGGCAGCGGGGCGGAGAGACCTCCTCCCGCCGCCAGCCTTCGTTTCTCCGCTATCCCGGACGGCTTTTGAAGGCAGGCGGGGGGGGGAGCAAAGACTTTCGCCCCCCGCCGGCCTTCAGAAGAGGTCCAGGACCTCTTCTGAAGGCCGGCGGGGGGCAAAAGTCTTTGCTCCCCCCCTGCCTGCCTTCCCGGGGGCTTTTAAATCGCCCCGGACAGCGGAGAAGTCCTCCGCTGTCCCGGGGTTTTTTAAAATGCTGGGGGTGGGAAGAAAAGCCCTTGTCCCCCCCCCAGCCTTCAGAAGAGGTCGGGGGACAGACTGTCCCCGGACCTGGTCTGAAGTCGGTTTCCATAGGAACGCATTGATTGATTTTCAATGCATTCCTATGGGAAACCGTGCTTCGCAAGACGAAAAACTCGCAAGAAGAAAAAACTTGCGGAACGAATTAATTTCATCTTGCGAGACACCACTGTACTCTCTTCACCAGAGGAATTATTGCGACAGTGTCATCCAAGTCAACATGAATACGAGCATTTTTATTTGCAAACAATTCACAAAGTTGTCACAGCAGGCTGCCAAGAGTGCTTCTACATCACTAGGATGGTTTGGCTATAATAGTTGTTGCGCTGCATGGAACAGTGGTGCCAAGTCACGTTGTTCAGATGCAATGATGACGGTGAATGAAATTTCTTCCCTACCACAAGTATAGATTTTCAAAATATGCTCCAAGCAGTGCATAATCAGGCTTGGCTCATGTTTTCCACCAGCTGTGATCCACAGACCTCATTGCTGTTTCACTGCTGTTAATTTTTCGTAAAATTGCAGCAAAAAGTATTTGAACTGCCTGGTCAGAGAGAGGCAGCTGTTCCCTCTGCAAGCCCATCAGGTAAGAGAGAACCATCAATAAACTACACCCACCCACTTGACAGGGGCCATTAGTCTTCAGAGGTATACTATTTTCATTGATGCAGTTAGTGATCTGTCTGTGGCAAGGACATAATTGGCTGTTGAACTCAGATCATCATTTGCTTGGCCTCTGAAGAACCAACTTGAGCATACATTCTGCTATGTGCACAAGGCCATTAAAAGGTGGAATGCAAGACTGCACAAACAGATGTCTCCCTCCCTCTGCCCACTCAGAGCCCATGTGCCCCCAAAATATGTTTGAGGGACCCCCAACCCTCTGAAGCAAAATTTGAATGTATATGGAGGGCTGCAGGGAGCAAGAGAGAAAGCACAGCCTACTTATTAGTTTGAGGAAGGGTGACAAAGAGCACATGGAACCATATTTTCCTTTTAGGCCTAACTGAATGCAAATTATTGCCTATTAAAACCTTGGACAGCTTGGATTCTGAGTGCCTTAGTACTAGTTAAGTCCACAGTAGCTTTAATGGTCTCGGGAAAATTATCACAACGCTGATTTGAAAATTCCAGTGTTTTAAAGTAGCACTGAAAGTTAGTGTTGGCCTATGCTGCTATTGGGATTATACTGGGGGTGGGGGGTATTAGTACAAATCTTTTTACTAGGCAGTATAACTTTACACCAGTCTACAAAAGAGAGAGTGAAAATGGATTTGGCAAAGCATATGTCAGAGGAATTACCTGTGTGTTCTGAAAATAATGCCTCCAGAGTGGCCTGATTTTATCTTGACCACCAACATCCCAAACAGTGAAACAGATATTTTTATATTCTACTGTTTCCACATTAAAACCTAAATGGAAAAAAACCCACAATTATTACAATAAGGACCAGCAAGCAACCCATTTTCTAGCACTACTCAAGCTAGGCAGATGTGAGCCCAATGACCAGGATAGTGTGGGGTGTCTTAACTTCCTAAAGGACTATGAAATAAATTTAATAAATGTAAGTCACCAAGCTCTGCAATTACAGATTTACATATTCATGCTTCAAGCTCTATGTAGAGCAGGTATTTGCCAAACATTTTCAGAAAACTATTACATGTTAGTTTTCAGAACAATTCTGGTTTCTTTAATTTGTCTATACAGTAGCACCTCGACTTATGTTACCCTCGGGTAACATAAACTTCGGGTTGCAAAAGTGGCAAACCCGGAAGTTTTTCACTGCGCGTGCATGCGCAGAAGCGGTCCCTCTGGTTGTGGAAACCTCAGGATCTGACCGGAGCTCTGGAACGGATCCCATCTGCAACCTGAGGTACCACTGTATTACAAAGAAATATATTAAGACCTGGCAGAAGTAAAGCTGGTCTTAGAAGCAAGCAGTGTTCCAAATTCACCAGGAGCATTTTGCACATATCTATCAGCCGCTTGCAACCAAGTGAAGACGTCAGGATGACACCTGAAGTCTCCAACCCTCTGGAGGTGCATGCCTGGGGATCCCTATATCTTGACTCTTTTCACACACCAGCAGCACATCCTGCTGTAGAATTCTATCTGTTATTTTTTTATCTGCACAATCAGAATGAATTTCAGGAAAAGTCATATTGGAAAATACGACTTTCAAGCTACCTGGCCCAAAAATGGCAAGTAGGCATTCTGTTTTGGCAACTGTAAGTAACCCTGGTTTAAGGAGCCATTTGGTGCCTATATATCTGAGTTTCTAACAATGGAAGCAAATTGAAGATGTTGCTAAAATCTATGTAGCAATCACATACATCTTCATCCCCAAGTGTTGCATTGGTTCCAGGATGCTCTCTTTGTTGGCTTTGCTACCCAAAGCAAGAATCCCCCATTTCAGGGAAAATTCACAATCTTTCAGGAACTGTGAAATCCAGTAATATGTACCATAAACATTGTGTGGGAACAAACTTCAGGAGTTCTACCTCTATCATATTCTCTGGCAAGTTGCTCTATATCAATTCCTGAAAACATAGACTATATATTTTTTGTTTCAAAGTTTTAAACAAAAACGGTTGTTAATATTGACAATATGTATCTGATCTTGCTTACCAATTGTGGGGATTGTAGTGACAATCTCTCCTAACTTCAGCTTATACAGAATGGTCGTTTTTCCAGCAGCATCCAAACCAACTAGAGAAAACAAATGTTTATTAGTTTAATAAAATGAACACCCCATTTCATAAAATCTGTTTTGACAATGAAAAACAAAGACTGTGGTACATTTTAAAATCAAATAGTTAGTTATTACCTTTAAAGATGTTTTTTTAAATAGAATTTCCATTCTGGGTTAGTTCAGACATAATTTTACACTATGTAAACCAAACTAGATATAACACATGTTCCATTCTTTCATTGTACTCTGCAATTCCCTCCCTAGTTTGTCAAGTAAGCCACTTATTTGCCTTACATCCAAACTAGACCTCACTCATAAGAGCTGATAACCAAAATTTTGAGAAGTACAGCTCTCTGAAATAGATTCAGACAGACAGCCTGTAACATCAACTGAAAATTGCAGTTTTTGGCTTTCTGTGACTATTTTACTGCTTTTAAAAATGAGACCAATGTTCTTGGTATTATGTATGGACATAACATGAAGTTCCCAGTAGCTTCCTCAGAGTAGGGCTAACAAACTCAGTGCTGGCTATTAACAAAACATAGTACAGTCGTACCTTGGATCCCAAACGCCTTGAAAGGTGAATGTTTTGGCTCCCGAACGCCGCAAACCTGGAAGCGAGTGTTCCGCTTTGCAAACATTCTTTGGAACCCAAACGTCTGACATTGCGATTGGCTGCAGCCAATCGTAAGCCACACTTTGCTTCCCAAACATTTTTTAAGTCTAACAGACTTCTGGAAAGGATTCTGTTTGACTTCCAAGGTACCACTGTAAATGGCAGAGGTTAACACAAAGCAATCAGAGCATAAAAGAGTTTATTCTTTAATAATTGAGTGGGATGCGGGGTGGGAGAATCCTGAGAACTCTGTATTACTCCATCTGACAGTGAACTGAGGGAGGGAGTGCTGACAGTGCTGTAGTCAAAATAGGGAAACTGAGAAACAAGAGGTCAGGGGAACCCCAAAATTTGTAAAAGTAATGGCATGAACAGAATCACTATTGCTAGGAGTGGAGGATACACTGCAGTATTTTGTGGCAGGTCCCACCCATTAAAGCAATTCCATTCTTCTCCATGAACCTTCAGAATATTTCAAACATGAGTAAACAATAATGAAAGTGCACCTGGTAGCTAGATCACACATCCAAAATGGTTTCCAAAGCTAATTTTTTACTCCTTAAAACTTAAGAAAACCAGGAAAATTATCCTTGTATAACATAGTGCAAGAAACCTTGGTTTACTATAAATTGCAGCTGTAAATTATGTAAGATCAAAATCCTATGGTTTCTACCCTATACGGTTATGGACCCAGCTCTACATGGAGTAACTAAAATGTTTTAGTTTCTTTTCCCCACTTTACTGTTAGCTGATCAAGTACAAATAAAACAAGTTTTCAATAAAACAAGTTTATAAGTCTTCAAATAGTAGTGGAATAGGTTTTTTACTAGTGCAAGACAAGATGTAGTCTGAGATTGCCTGCAGCACTGACAGAGAACACCGAATGTATTTTGTGGGCAGAATAGTAAATCATTAGGGACTATTTAATTGTTAATTAAGGAAATATTAAAATGCAGTATCTGAGCTAGAAAAAAAAGTAAGTTGTGCTATAAATTATTTTCATTGCATTCTTAGCACAGTGCAATCTGGGACTGAATGCTAAAGCACTAAATAAAAACAAATTACTGCATCTTTAATTTTTTTAAAAAAAACCTTCAGCAAATAGTTGCTAGGGTAGAGCCCAAGGACTATGGCACTGTCCAAGGTATCTTCCGTTTCTTGAATAAGCTATCAGAATTATCCTATACTGCATATTAAAAACCGGCTTTTCTATTTTTGCATCTCCCCTATTATCCATAAATTCACACCAAGCAGTGTTTAGCAATTACAGTATACAATGAGGCTGCTACCCTGAGAACTGAGTGGAAGAAAACTGCTCCTTTGTCACATACCACAACAGCCTTCTGCAGCCACAAAACAGCTTATCTGAAAGTGGGGGGAACCTCCTGAACAGCATTTTATGGGGCACAGGGATTGTTGCTCAAACATGCACAACCAACTAGAGAAGCTTTAAGAGATGAGTGGGGTTACAAGGAATAAGAAGGGACAAGGAACCACACTTCCACTCACAGTTCTCAGGATCCAAGCTAACAAATCAGGCTGCTAATTTTTCAATTTAAAGAGAATACATGTTGGGCATAGCGCTTCTTTGCACCTGCATGAACTATGCCACTGCAGAACAAAGTGGAAATGATTCCCCATCACCACCCCAGGCTATTACAGGGAATGGGAGGCTTCCTTCTAGCCCCCTCTACTTGGTCAAGGAATGAGAACTTGAAGAAGCCATAAGAATGAAAAGGGGGCTTTGTTATGTCCAACTGAGATCCTTTTACATACAGGTGCTTCACCTGCATGTGAGAAGCTTGTGCAGTGTCCGCCTTCCTACAGTATATTTAGGATCTTGGAATAGTGCTTATTATATTGTCTTCGGGCGTCTGGTCAATGAGAATGCTTCCTTCTGATGTTATCTAAAGAACTTTCCGTACAGGCTGGAAAGTTTAATGTGCTGTCTATTTTTTCAAGCTCTGCTGAGTGAAAAATAAATTCAGCATGTTCTTACATATTGACAGTATATAAAACGTACATATCTAAGATCTGCAGCTTCTAATGTATTTGCTTTACCTTCCTGCCTTTTCAGGGCAATTCTATATTCTGGAACAGGGAAGGCAACCAAGATATCGCATTGGTTAATGACCAGTCTTATGTGAAGAAATTGGGATTTTTAAGTTATAAAATTGTTTTGTTAGTTAAGCCAAGAAATATTCACAGAAGAGGTTTTTATAAAGAAAAAGTCAAGTGCATGAATACATGCCATCTAATCTTCATGTGACCTGTAAATCCTGTGGCTAGGATTCAGAATTCCCCCGAGAGGTACTTCACTCTAGGAGTCTCCTGCTGGGGAGGTGGGGACCTTTTGCCCTGCAATGGATGAGATTCTGGAATGATGTGGGAAATAGTGCAGGGAAGAATCAACAAAAAATGCCTTCCCCCTTCTCCAGCGGAAGCCTCTACTGTACATCACCTGAGTCTGAAGGCAACAACAATTTAGGATGCCTTAATGGGAGCCTAGGTTCTAGATGCTCAAACTGCTCTTAACACCAACAGAGGTAAAGCTGGATATATAATATATAAGCTACAGTAATCTAAAGCTATGTAACAAAGTTACCATCAGATAAGTTAGTATTAGATGTAAGCAAGGTTCATTACCACTTCATGTGGTACCTATCTCCTAAAATGTTCCCTGTGAGAAAGAAGGGGGGACTAAAATTATTATTATTTATTGAATTTATATACCGCCCTATACTCAGAGATCTCTGGGAGGTCTTCAGGACTAGGATTCCATCTTTTTTTGACCTTCAAAGTGCACAGATAAGGGAGACCAGAAGGCATTGCTTCGTGTTGATTAATGCCTGAGCAAAGAAAGATGGATAAAAATGAAGCTGCTTATTTAGTATACATTGAGAAGTGCTGAAGGCAACTGGTTTTGACTGAAGGGAAAATTGAGGACAGTCCAGGTGAAGCTGTAACAGGAAAATCTTCGGTGTGTAATGTATTTGCATGGGTTGGACATATTTTTGAAAAACACATGAAAGATCCACTTTATTTTTCTATAAAGCTGATTGTCTACTATAATCAAAGCATCACCATTCAGATTAGCAATATAAATATCTAATGTACCATCTCTAACAATATCAGTAATTGCTAGGGAGAAACCAAACATCAGCTGCTTTGTGGGAAGCAACATGAGAATGCTAAGTGATTTGAAGTAGTTGATAAGGCTCCAAAAGTCTTAGCAGCACTAGAGACACAGAATACAACTTAGTATGTTTAATACTGGCAGAAGAGATAAATGACCTGGTTTTGAGTCCACTTCTACGTGTAGTCCAGCCAAAATGAAAACTTAAACACACATGTTACTGTCTCATCAGCAATTGCTAACAAGAGTGCTTCACCTACAGTGACACACATACAAGCCTACTTCACCCCTCCCCCTCCAACACATGCAAGGAGGAGATTGGAAGCTTCCATTTCCTTCTTTGAAGTAATCCAAACCCTGAAGTGTAGTTAGTTTAAATGATGGTTTATTGCAACAAGACCACAATTGATCTTGACTTGTTCCAATAAACTATAGTTTAAGCTAACCATGGTTTGTGCTTGTCAGATGTAATGACAAACAAAATTTATTTTAAATCTGGAAATGGATTCTTTCAATCTCTTTCTCTGGCATGTGTCCAAAGAAACAGGAGGAGGGAGTGCTCAAGTCCAAGTAGGCCTGTTTGTGTAGCATTAAGCCATTGTTTAGTGTTGCGCCCAATGTGTCCCTTTACGAGTTATCATCTCAGACACAAACACAAGAGATAATTCTAGAACAGACACTGGCCTTTTAAAATTCAGATTACGGTAACAGAAGTCCAAACGAACTTCAACACTCAAAACAGTTTGTGACTACATACTATCGTTCTGGAATTTGAAATGAAATTTTTAAGGGGAGGTATGTCAGCATGTTTAGCATCATAACCACAGGATATTCCCACATGCATTATAACAGTAATCCATTTTAAGTCTCAGTTCTCTCACTAACATAGTTCAATTGGCTGCAAAGTGATCCGCCAGGAAAGGCCCCTTGTGTTGTGCTTAACAGCAACCATTTGAGACAATTAAGAGCTGGTTTTTAAAAAGCTGTGTCTAGACCATAGACACTTAGGGATCCAGGATAAAACAACACTAGCACTCATTAATTGGAGGGGGAATGGGTTAGGGTGCAATATTAACCCTGGCTGGCAGCAATGGAACTTTATGGAGCAGTACAGCCAGTAATGCATTCACAGTGTGATGCTCATGCTGGCCAAGGCAAGGGAAAAAACACCAGCTTTGGGTAAGCATATAGGAGAGCTCCCCTGCACAGGGTTGGACAGAAGGCTATCTCCATACCATCCAAAAGCCCTCCAGCATGGTGGATCTGAGGCTTGGGTTGCTCTGCCCAAGGATGACAAGACAAGACAAAGCACATATGGGTGACATTTACCATTTTAAAATTGCAGCCATGCATCCTTGAGACAACAGAGCAATTCCAAATTCAAAACCAATGACCTTTCACAACAGCCACTGTATATACCGTAATTAGGGCAAAATCCTAAGTTAACATACCAGGCTATCAACAGGATACAGGCAAAGAGTTATAAGCATCTTTCTGTGAACCACCCAGCTCAGTACAGTACTGATTTGTGTAATCTTAAACTGAACGAACCAACAAGGCAGGGCATGCCCCTTAATTCCATACATAAAAAAGCAAATACAAAATGTGCATCTCATTTTTATAAAAACTAACAAATACTAAGAACCCACCCTATCCAAAATACTAATGGCATGAAGCAATGTGGATATCTGCACACTGATTATTCACCATCCCAAAAGTGTTGTGGGATAGGATGAGAGGCAGGGGGAGGGGGAAAAAAAGTTATGCTAATGCAATTGTCTGTAACAAAAAAAACAACAAAAAAAACCTAGGAGACAGCCGTCAGGGTAACTGACTCTTCCATTTTTATTTGCAGTATAATTATTACCGCATTTCGCTTTACATTCCTACATTGGAAGAAAAATGGTACGTGTATTGTGCATTATGTATGCGGATGTATTAAAAGAACAATTCCTACGATCACCACAACAAATGCGAAGGCTCTCTGTGTGCGCCGAGGGTTAGCGAGGGATCAGACTGACGGCACCGGACTTATTTTGAAACACAGGAAGCCCATCGGGACGGAAAACGAACCCACATCCTGAAAAGAGCAGAAGGCCCCGGGCGAAGATAAATTCCGCTCGTTCTAAAAATGTCTCCCAAGGTGGATTCCTTAAGAACGTCCTGCAAGGAGGGCGAGGGGGGGGGGAGGCCATGGAGACCCTCCCTTCCTCTCTCCTTCTTTCTCCCCCCTCCTTCTCTCCTTGTCTCCCGACAGCACAAGGCCTGGCCCGAACAATGCTGCCTGCCTGCCTGGCGTCCGCCCGCCCCACTGCTGTGCCTTCCCATCTCAGCCCCCGCGAAGACTCCAACACCCCCCCCCCATCCTCGCTAGGCGAACAGGGAGCCAGGGAAGCAACCGGCCGCCGGCTCCTCTGCCCGGGGTGGGGTCGCCTCAGGCCCGGCTCGCTACCCCGGGCGGAGCGGGTGTGGAATTGGGGGGGGGGGTGTTGAAGCGCCTCTCTCTCTTTGCCCGCCCGTCTCACCCATGAGGATGCGCATCTGCTTCTTGCCGAAGAGGCGCGAGAAGAGGGAGGAGATGGTGAGGCCCATGGCGGCTCCCGGCTGGGCGGAGGTAGCGGCGGCGGCGGCGGCGCAAGAGCGGAGCGGGCCGAGTGTGAAGGCGGCGGCGGGGAAGGCGAAAGCAAGAGGCCCCGGTCCCTCTTTCTCGCTACTTCTCTTCCTCCTCCTCCTCCTCCTCCTTCCTCTCTCGCTCCCGCAGAGACGGCGAAACCAGCTGAGCCTCGGGAGCAGGCGAAGGGCGTCCGCGGCGTCCGCGCACCGGGGCTAATCTGTGTCGGGGGAGCCTGGCTCTCTCTTAGCTCTCTCTTTCTCTCTCTCTTTGCCACGTCACGGCCGCCCCGGCTCCAACGCGGACAAAATCGCGTCACGCCCGCCACATCCTCACCGCGGCACCACCCACACGAACCTCGAGCAGGCCTCACGACACGCAGGAAGACTACGGCTCCCAGGCCGCCTCTCGCCGCCGCAGCCTTGGCGAGTCTGGTTTTCGGCTCGCGAGGCACGATGGGAAACGTAGTCCTCAAGAGGCTCGGCTGCTTGCCCCTCTGGAAGGAGAGTTTGTATGTGTGAGAGAGAGGCGCAGGGAGTGCTGGGAAGTGTAGTAGTCTCCCCTCCCTTTCTTCCCCCTTATATCGGCTTCCCCTCTGCCGTCTCTGCAGCAGGGCGTGCTGGGAGTCATTGTCACCTCGTGCTGAGCTTGAGGCCTAGCCCCTTCGTGTGGATGGTTAGAGAGCAAAGGTAGTTGTGGAGCCACCGGCAGCCATACACCTCATTCCCACAAAGCAGCAAATGCAGTGGTGGCAAACCTAGTCCTGGACTATATCACTTCAGAGTTTGGGGGTGGGAATCGTGTATATTAAAAGCTAGATGTTAGGCGCTTCTGCTTCTCCCTGACATGCTCTATTTCTAGGTGCAGGGAGGAGTCCTATGAGACTGTACTTGTCGCTGGAAGTGGTACAGCAGATTTACCACTGCACCAGCCGCTTGTGAGACTTGTCCAGACTATACTAGAAGGAACTGGTAATGTCACATTAAATCAAATCCTGGATCTCCAAATCTCTTCTTCCCTCAAAAGTAATTCTTGCTCATCTGGAAGGATTAATGACACAGACACATCCTTTCCCCCCCTCTTATATATTTCTGTAGTTAATCATGTTATTTCTCATGAAGGAGAAGATCGTAATGATTTTAGATTGCCTGCATTTGAGAGAGTGGTGCCTGTTCACCTTTCAACTCAAGATCCTGTTTATAATTATTTCCTTGGAATTTTGAAGGAGACATATTCCTACATAATGAAAACAACTCCAGGTAGTTGTTCCCCAGATTTATTTGTCTATAAATGATTATTGTAATGAAAGCAAAGTGGGAAGGGCAACAAGACTTTTTCAAATGTTAATAAATGTTTGCTATGAAATATTGCCCATCAGTAGTTGTGCTGGATTACAGGTTATTTGGAATTTAATATCTGATAACGAGTATATTAATAAATTCTCAACTCCAGCTACAAAAATAGTTTCTGCTCAATCCTAATCTGGTTTGTAGCAGAATCACTAGAATGAAGTACTGTACATGATGAGGTCTTGTCACTTGTGTTGCAAGACAGAGGCGTCCTTAAATTGTTTGCTTTGGATCACTGTTTCGGTATAGGGTATGATATTACAGCAAGGGAAAAGGTCGGCTGGGATGCCTCAGCAAAAATAGATTCATGGTAGTTCTGTTTGATTATTATTCTTGCAGCTGGCAGTTGACAGGTGGAGGCAGAGTTCAAGGCAAGAATGCTGCTACCACAGCACAGAAAGACACTTATCATTCCTCTCCAGGTATTGCTCTTCAGTGTCTGGTATGTCCACATAAAAGTTCCCTTCAACTTTTTAAACGCTTTTCTTAATAACTTAATTTTGATACAGTTTAAGTTTCATAAAGACTTTAGAAACGACCAACTGTTCATTATTGTAAAATAAGTATTTCTTATGTCACCCTTTACCAACCGGGTGTTCTCCTGATGGTTCAGGCTACAACTCCCATCAGACACAACAGAAGGTTTATAGATTTGCAGGGACCCTTGTACTAGACTATTTGTCACTGATGTGCCAAGAACTCTGCTGATCAAGTCACATGCTTTTTCAGGGCACCCAGACCAAGCGTTTTCCACACTGTCTACATCTTTTCCTTTTCTTTTTTTGTACAAAAGGTTGGAACCTTCCTAATGAGGTACAGGCCTTCTTGAAAATGAGCTGAGCAGAATTCCAACTGTCATTGTTCTCCAATATTAAAAGAGCTTCTTTTGTTATTTTCTATATTTTCGTTTTCACTCATGTGCTCATTTACTAAAGGTTCTTTAGCTAAAGCAAGTTCACAGTCAAAAAATATGTGTATTATGAAGATTTTCCTCATTATTTTTTCACTGCACAGCACATTTATTTGTTCCAAGGCTCTCTGTAAGTCATTTCAAGAATTTTTTCCTTTTTAGTAATAGGCACCTAACTAATTAAAATAATAACAATGGATTGTTATAGTGTCATCTTGCTTTTGTGAAAACAGGACTCCCCTCTGTATGGCCCCAAAATCTGCTCCAGAGGGTTAGGGGACTCACTGGGTGCATCAAAAGGCACAAGGCAGAGAAAGAGGAATTTCATTGTGCCCATTAGGATGGCATTGGATCTATCCTAAAAATAGTAAAATGTGTCAACTATTAGTACCTGGACTGCAAAGGTTAAAGCTGAAATAAAATGCAATATGTGTTGGTCTAGATGCACCCTTAAATTAGCAATAATGGCCTTCTTGCCCTTGCTGATAAATTTAGCCCTGCTGTCTCATAATTTGGCACTATTATCTCTTGGCCTAAGGGCTCATGTTTCACTGTAACGATTCAATTGGTGTTGCTCTACTGATGGAAGGCATCTTTCTGTCGTGGACTGGTTAGAGGCAGAGGAGTGGCGGGAGGCGCCAACTGGAGAGCCCTCAAGGGAACCCTCAGGGAAGAAGACTCAGAGCTAGTGGATTGGTGGTGCGATGACAGTGAATGGTCAGAGAAGAGGGAGCAGACTAAGAGAGGTGTCAGAAGCTGAAGAGGTAACAGGGTTTAGTGAGCAGGAAGAGAGCCATCCAGACTCAAGAGGCAGGAGAGGAGTGGGGCTAGGAGACAGGTGAGGCAGGCTGCTGAAGAATCCAGGGAGTCTCCCCCGCCTGCTGTGACCAGCTCATCTCTCCCCTGCTCTCCTAGAACTTGCAGAGAAATGAAGAGTGCAGAGCCATGAGAGACAAGGTGATGGAGCTGTCGGCTGCTGGGGAACGAACCTGGGAAGGAGCCTTAGAAAGCTTTGGGAAGGTGGGGATCTTCAGTCCTTGCAACTGCTTCATTGGGTCTAGACCTACAGGGAAGGGTTGCTGTGGCCACTAGGACTGAGTTGCTTTGTTTCTTTGAATAAAGAGTTAACTTCACCGCCATCAGGTGCTTTATTATTTTATTGCTGACCTATGCCAGCTCTGACACTGTCACGAGTGGAAATGGAAGGGAGAACATAACAGTAGCCTTCTGGATCAGGCCAATGTCCTAGGTAGTCCTGTCTTCACAGCAGCCAACAATACGCTTGTAGGAAACCTGCAAACAGTACTTGAGCACAGGAGCGCTCCCTTGCCCAGTGATTTCCCGCAACTGGTATTCAGAAGTATTACAGCCTCCATCTGCCAATGGAGCACCACCAAGTGGATACCACCCACAACCTTGCTGTCTCTGGTATGGTCCACAAAGAAGGCAAGAAGGGACAGGCAAAGTTGGGGAAGCAGCACAAGACTCGAGGCAGTTGCTGCTGATAAGTAGCATGCACTTTGACCCAATGCTTGCTTCCCCATGTCTAGTGTCAAAAGTCCCACACAGTTATGCATAGGATTTCAGCCGCAGAATTATAAGCAAGAATGATGTTCTTCATAGTAAGAATTCCACTGGATACATGTTTTTATTTCATGTGGTTTACTGAATAAACACGGACAAAGTTTCTGTAAAAGTGAAATTTATTGGCCTTAAAAAAATACATTTAGAAAATAAGCTAATGTAGCTAGTTCCAATATACTATGCAATGCTTCAGTTAATGAAGATTTAATGGCCATATTTTAAAAATGCTACTTAGTTGTGCAAAACAGTGAGTTAAATATTAATGCAATAGTGGCATAATTGTCGAAGTCCTCTTTTATACATGTTATTCTCAACTTCTGATTTGGAATTCATGTAAGTGAATATTAAAAATACATCTCCTTAAAAATACAGAGGGTAGTGTATAGCTAAAATTAAAGACTCTAAACAATGGTACAAAATGTCATACAAAGGCAGTTTTTTTTCCTACAACGGGCCTGAAATAAATGAATAAAATGTGGTGGAGTATTGATCATCATTAAATCTTGACCCAGCTGTTGCATTTCTGCTCCTAATGGTAACATACCACAATATACTGGTACATGTTAGAATTGGTATAACATTCTTGGAAGGTTCCTCCAAGTCCTATTTCATAAGAGTTATCGAACTCCTATGTTCTTGTGTTCTAAAAAAAGTTATGCATCTAGCAAGAATAATTTATTACAATGAGAAATGGCTCATTATGCATATATTTATAGTATATACATTAACCCTCTTCAGGTATTCTATTTCTCTGTAAAAGTAAGTGGAGTGGAGAGAAATGCACTAAATGTGTACTACCCAGAAGCTGGGAGCCTCCTGTACTTGTGAAAGCTCTCAAGATTTTGAACCCCCGATTTAAAATCACACAGGAAGCATCCACAAACCCAGAAGGGCTCCCAACTTCAGAAGTTTGTTCTCCAGCTCATGGAGGTTGAACTTAGCATACTTGTCCACACTTGTCTGTTGCTTTTACCTGTGAGCAGAATACTTGAAGGTTATTGTTATAGCAGGGAATCACAAAAGGCTTCCCTAGAGAAACAGGAGATTAAAATCAGCCTCTTCTTACATAACCACATTCTTTGAAGGCAGTTAAAATTAAGTATTATGACATGATAGCAAAGCACCTAATGCATTTAACAAAATTGGGACGGACATTGATTTGATACAAGTTAGTATTCCTGTTGCTATTTAACTGACATACTTTGGTGTAAATGATCGTCACCCCAACCCACCAAGGGGAATCCACACACACAAACCTGCTTTTGCACATGATCAGCCCCATGTATGCATAATGGTGCTGGAAAAGATAAAGCCCTAACTTGGGGCCGGGGAGGTGAGGTAGCTCTCTCTAACCACCACCATACAAAGAAGGCTGTGGCTGTCCTCAAGGCACTCTCGTCTCCCCATTCATGCTTGGGCATGAGGAAATAAGAGGCATTTAGTTCAGCAGCCTGGTCTATGTGCAACAAACTCCACAACACATTCAATGTGTATTTTCTGGAATGGCAATTATGCAAAGTTTCTGTTAATCAACCTTTGCCATTTTAATCTTTGTGCCACAATTTAAAATTTAGACTTATGATAGCAAGCTTAAGACTTTAGACAAGAAGCACCCACTTAATTTTGTTTTCTTTTTTTAAGGGGGGGGCACCACTAGTTTTATATTCTAGAAACATATCTGTGACCTGATAGGTAGTAAATTCACTATTACACACTGTAATCTCAAGTCATTTGATTCAGATGTCTCAAAGCTGATGTGAGAGGGAGGAAAATCACAAGTCTGTGTGCGCCTCTTCCCTGGGCTTCCATATTCCTTTCCATAGTTTAAAATAAGCTTGAGCTGCTGTAATATCTGAACTGCATAGACTATGGTTACCTCTAATCACACTGCCTCAAAACTAAGAATGAATTGGGTTTCAGTCCTGGGTGGGGACACAGTCAAAGTGGATTAAAAAAGCAATGTTTAGTTTCAGGTTTTTTTTTAAAAAAAAGCTCAATTCCCCACCTGTTTTTTTTTCAAATGTGAAATTTAGTTTTAAAAATGTAAATACGAAGTCTAAAATACCAAATAGGTTAATATTAAATAACCTCAATATAAGCATGTTGGCTCTAAAAGTTACACTGTAAACTGAATACTGTATATTCCTATACAGTACCAGATCCATTGAATTAAAGGAGGCTTTTCTATGTATGAAGAACTAATTGGATAATTTATCAGATATTAATATTTACATTCCACCTACACTTTGCCAAGTTACTTCTATTGTATCAGTCATGGGCATTTCAGTTTTGATTGCTACTTTTGTTTGATTCTGTGAGGCTAGGGCTTGGCAAAAGCATAGCGAAACAGAAAGGAGCAACACTGGAGAGAAGACAATTGTCCAGTGTTCAGCTTCCTATACTCCCAAACATAACCTCACAAACTGTCATGGGTGCCAAGTGCAAGAAAGAATCTACATGCAAATATTTTAAAAGGTTGAAGAAGGAAAGCACACAAAATATATGTAGTGAGGCAAAAGATGAAAGGCCTGGTTACAAGAATGAAACAGTATAAATACTAATTTAGTTATAAATTAGTAGGGCCCCAGTGGTGAGATTTGCATTATTTAGGAAATAAGATGATTTATCCATGAGAATGATTTAAATCAGCCTTTTTTTCTTGCTGATTTAAATTGGGATTTGTACTGCCTTGATTTAAAATCAATACACCCTGCAAACTATGATAAGCAGTAACCCGAGTTTTCCCAGTTGAAATACTAGAGCAGGCTCCAATTATTGAAATTAGGAATGTGGGGCAAAGATATATGGACCTAACAGAAGGAAAATGGAGGAGTGTTCAAAACTACAGGGATGATCCCAATTGTTAAACCAGTGTAAGAGCCAAGGTGGTGTACTAGTGGTTAGTAATGGACTAGGACTGGAAAGATCTGGGGTCAAATGTTCACTCAGCAATGACTCTCACTGACCCTCAACCAGTCACTATCTTTCAGCGCAGTCTACTTCAAAAGGTTGCTGTGAGGGTAAAAGGGTGGGGAATCATATACCGTGCCTTGAGCTCATTGAAGGAAAGGCAGGATATAAATTGAATAAATGAATTCACGTTTGGCCATCAGCTCTATAATAACTGAACTGAATTATAATATTTAGTAGACTAGCATTTGAGATCTTAAGAGGAAGTAAAATATCAAGACGAAGTACTCACTGGACAGCTACTAGCTATTCCATTAAGTGTGATAGTCATTGAAACCAACAGGAATATTGCTTCCCCTGAGTTTAATACAATTGGGCAGATCAGCACCCATTTAAGAAGCTCTGCAGTGTCTGCACTGCATTGTGGAAGTTTAAGATGCATGCAGATGTTCAGTAAGAGCACTTAATTTTAAACGTATGCAAAAAAAAAATCAAAAAATCAGTTCCTTCCATATTCAAGTTGAACCTAAGGGGCTGCTTAAAATAATGTTTTAAGTATTAACACGGTCTGTTTCCAGTACCATATCCTTTGCATGTCCACTGTTCTTTGCAAGTGCCTTTACACCTTTCAAATGTGCGATGTGGTACGTATGGCTGCAGAAAAGTCCAGTTAGTCACGTTGAGCCCGTTTTGATGAGTATACCCTGTAAATCTTCTGGCAGCGCAAGAATAATTGAATCAATGTGCATCTGTAACTTTTCCACAGTGCCTGGTTTCACAGGTAAGTTTTCTCCATCAGCCTATAACCATAGAAATTGCAATTAAAAACCCATGGTAATCTTAAAAGAATCCATAAGAAGTCAGCATTTATGAAAACAAGCATGACAGAAGAATCAGGAAAATACACACATTGGCTAAATATTAGTGCAAGCATCCAAAAAGAGATACAAAGTGTCTCATGTGTAATTGAGACTAAAAGGGCCTCAGTACATTCAGGATTCATGCAAGCTGAGCTCACTGTAGCTGGAACCTTCTCTTGGGGCATACCCTTGGCTGCCATCTGTTGATTTTGCTTTTTGTTTACAGATAAGCTTTCAACACTCTTCCAATTTTTAAGGGAGAATTTGCATACAGAAGGTCACAGGTTCAATCCCTGGCATGTCCAGGTAGGGCTAGGGAAAGATTCCTCTGAAATGTTGCCACAGCTGTTCAATGTGCACAATATTGAGCTAGGCAGACCAATGGTCCGACTTGACATAAGGAAACTTCCAATGCTCTTATTTAAAATCAAGCTTTGGTTGAAGTGGTCTCTCACACTGAACAGAAGTGATAGCAGATTTAATTTAAAATTTAATGGAAAACACAACTACCAAGTATTCTCTAAGAATGTTTGTAAATGCAGTTCTCTTCAGTAACTACATGCGACCACCAGAGGGATTTACTATCAAGAAAGCATATTCTGCAAGCAACTTTCTTCAATCTCAAGCAAAGCTGCAGGCAGGGAAATGCTGGAAGTACAGTAGTGATGTACCTTTATAATGCAAGCTACCCAAGGAATGGCTACTTAGATCTGCTGGAAAGCAACAAGTGTGCCCAGGGAGAAAATGCAAGGAAGCTGCCTCAAAAAGGGGGGCTTAAGTAGACATATGACAAAGCCAGCAATAAAAAGGGAGTAACAGTGCTAAATAAGAGAGAGAATGAACCTAGGATATGGACTATTGCAACCCACATCCTTCCAATCTAGCCAAGAAACTCAGCAGAGAAGGCTTATCAGTGCTCAACCTGCTACCTCCCACCCTTTTCTGGTCAGGAGTGGAAAGCATGCACAGAAAACGATAGCTGTGTGCTGGATTTCCCTAGGATCACTTTGGCTGCTGTGCAGGTTTTCTTCTGCTAAGAAGAGGAAGAACAGTCACGTTAAATGTTTTCCGACAGATGGGGTTGTAGTATCTTAATTATGAGCTATTTCCATTGCCCAGGAAGGCAGAAGTCAAGTAAGACTAGCTCTTCCCATAGGAATGAGAATGTGCTCTAGAGGTCTCCTGAGTATCCTTGTGATTAAAGATGAAGAATTATGTTGGGCCTTTAGAGAGGCTTGATAATCCTGCACTGTAGCTTTGTCCTTTCTCCTAGAGAAGCCAAATAATGAAGCTTCTTTAAAATCACTACTCTTCCCCCTAATAATAACAGTACTCAAAAAATGAGGTGATTGAGCATTCCAGCAGGTCTGGGGACAGGTCCAGTATGACAGGTACAAGCTAAGCAATGAGTCTGTGGGGGAGATGGAAACCTCTCATTGGTGAATTCAAACTCTGATGGAGTAGATGATACTTGACTAGACTAGTAAGAATGGAACATAACACAAAGCACTGATAATGGATGAACAGTACGTTGAATACATTTACCCACCAATTTGTCTACCTACCACTTTATCCTTTAATTTCAAAACTAAATCCACTGTTTCCACTTCAGTATGCTTCTGACTCCAGAAAAGCAAATCCTATCAGAAGAATATGTTCAAAAATCAGATTCAGTTATTTTTTTTACAATGACAGCACGGAGTGGGGGGGGGGGACTTTTATTATTGGAGCTTTAGGAAATGCCTTAAATGCCCACTTTATTGAGTGGTAGCCCCTGTACCAAAGGCAGTGCTGATCTCCCAAGGGTCCCTTACCTTTGGAGAGAGAATGTCAGAGGGCACAAAGAACTCAAGTTAGAAGACAGCAGCTGAAAAGACCCAATGTACCTAAGGGAGAATATGCATAGCCCTTTGGATCCCAGCCATTAACAAATGCTACTCTAATCAGGGCTTATCCACACTTCCTCTTGTTCCACTACTTTCCCCCAGGGGAAGCTGCTCCTTAGTGCTCCATCGGAGCAAATGGGTATTTGGGTTTTCTCCAGCTTGCTGTTTGCTCATAATTTAGAGCTAAATAGTAGGTTTTCCCTGGGAAAGGAGTAGGGCAAGGGGAAAACTGCTTGGGGCCCATGCTTTCTAGGCACAGGGCAAATGAAAAGTGTGGAAATGCCCTCACTGGCCATACCATTTAAATTGGGTTTTCAAGGACAAATTATGCTTTTTATTTCTACAGAGAAGACAAGGAAGAAAAAGCTTAAAGCAAAGCAGTTTTTCCTGACCTCATTACATAGCGCTTCTAAGTGCAATGCCTCCAGCTTCTGTGTCATTTCTTTCCGCCGAGTCCTGAACCAACCGTCAAAGTTGTAAGATTTCAAAAAATGCCTTTAAGACAAAGGGGAAATTAGTTCTACTAGTGGAACAAGGTGACACTCCGAAATCAAATTTACAAAGTTGCTCTGCCAAGCATATGGCTAGAGGTTCACATAACGTACTTTGGCTTTCAAAAAGCTTTTGACAAGGTATCTCACTAAAGACTCCTGAGTGAGGTTAACAGTTATGGAATAAGATGAGCGGTTCACTTATGGATCAGGTATTGGTGAAGTAGGCAGCAAAGAGTAAGTTTAAATGGACAGTTCTCTGAATGGGGGAGTGTTATTGGGTTGTTGTTTTTATTCTGATTTATAAGTTGTTATGTTTTCTGTGGATCACCCTGAGACCTCCGGGTATAAGGCAGTATATAAACTCAATAATAATGTTGAAAGTGGAGTTCCCCAAAAGGACCTCTCCAAACTGAGTGAATTGGGTGGTAAAATGACAAATATAACACAATGTAAACAAGTGTAAAATGATGCACGGCGCTGCAAAAATTTTATTCACATACTGTACATGCTCAGGGGTTCCGAAATGGTGGTGATTTACCAGCAACAACACCTTGGGGTTGACCCAGCAGTTGGGGAAAAAAATTAAATCCATGGTATATCATGCACATATCACTATCATAATGCCATTATACAAATCTATAGTGCGACCACACTTGGAATACTATTCTTCTTGCTTCAGCTCAAAAAGGGTTGTTTATTATTTCATTTATAAACTGCTTCCCACAAAACAAGCAATTTAAAAACAAACAATACATAAGGCTTTGTACATCAGTACTAACACTTTGAACTTAGCCTGGTAGCCAACTGTTGATCAATTAGTCATGAAAGTCCACAACCAATATAGAAGACTCTATTAATGTGAAAAACAAGTTAAACATATTTATAAATTCCTGTAAAAGAAAAGGGGCAACAACCATAACATTATTTTACAAAGCAGTTCGGTTAGCATTAGAGGCAAGGGGTTTTTTTTGCTGCTTCCAAAATATTTTTAACATGAAATCTGGATGTCTCTCAGCCTGTAATCTTAGCAATAGTCAAGGTATAAAACAGGATTACCTGTAGAGTCCTATCCAGTCTCCTTTTAATCTAGAGGTGAGCTGAGGCCCTGCTTTCTCAAGAGTTTTCATAAATTCCTCTTGGTTGAATGGCTTCAACTGTGGCGGGCTCTATGAGAGAAACACAGCTATAAGCACAGAAGCTGGCAGCTATTCACAAAATGAATATTTAGGTTATCAATGAATTTTCACCTTCCAAGGTGATATGCTCTTTTGCAGAGGCATCAGGCTTGCTACGTATCGTTCCTAGAACAACAAATAGATGCAAAAATAATGATGTTGAATCTCTGCATTTGGCAGATCCATATTATTACATTTCTTAAGCATTTTCTGATGGCCATTCAAAAGCTGGCCTCAGAAGAAGAGTTTGGATTTGATATCCCGCCTTTCACTCCCCTTCAGGATTCTCAAAGCAGCTAACATTCTTCTTTCCCTTCCTCCCCCACAACAAACACTCTGTGAGGTGAGTGGGGCTGAGAGACTTCAAAGAAGTGTGACTGGCCCAAGGTCACCCAGCAGCTGCATGTGGAGGAGCGGGGAAGCGAACCCGGTTCACCAGATTACAAGACTACCGCTCTTAACCACTACACCACACTGGCTCTCTCAGAACCCACTGTGACTACTCTTCAAATTATTAACTTTATTTTAGCTTCTTAAAGGTTTAGATTACAAAGCTTTGGTTATGTTCGTTGTTCAGTATAGAAGTGCCATAGACATAGCAGCTTACTAGAGGAATAATGAAGCTCTGGGTCAGTTCCAAAAAATAACGACGAAGGATTATGCTCTGAGCTTCTCCGGGACGCTTCTGCTGTACTCCCTAAAAAAGGCAATCACAGTAAACGAGGAGAACCACAAGCTATAGCAATACACTGTTGATAAGGGTATCTAATACTTAACAGACTTTATACTATGAGTGCATTCATATAGTAGTTCAACCACAAGTCTGAAATTACCTTTTGTAATTGCTTGATGATTTCTTCATCTCTGTTCAAGTATGACTTATAAGACGTATAAACACCTATGGAGGGAAAAACAACCACCATGAGATTGTCCTCTGGTTTTGGCCCATAACAATATTCTGCAAATAGTAGGTTATAGTGATGAAACATTACCAGGCTTAGAATCCAAAGTCTTTAAGTTCTTTAGCTTTTTCACTTTCACCTGCTTTGGTACTTCACCTGCCAAAATGAAGGAAGAGACACTGTGAGTATAATCACTCAGATACTAAGATCTGAAGAGCCAAGAGGTTCTTGCACATCTTTTGGTGTAACCATGTAAAACATAAGTTTAATACAATTTTGTAAACAGCCAAGCTTACAAAATATTTTCATAGATGAAAATATATTTATTCAGCTTGATGCAGAGTTTTGTTGGTTTAAATGTACTCTTCATCACACTTCAAAGAAGTTGGAAATATGTTATGAAAGATATTACTTTGCATATTTTTTCCTATCACTACTTATACCTATTCCAGTTCAGTTTTTGCAAAGTCTAATCTATAAAGTGGCTTGAGTCAACTGAAGAGGCAAAGGCAGCCTGTAGATTTTCATTAAATCGAAACCACCTCTCTACTTCTTAACAATAATGCCCCTATTATTTCATATTTTGTTCACATTTAACTAAGCTAAAGGAGGAAAGACAGTAACTTGTAATACTCTTTACACTGCAGAAGAAATCTTCAGTCAATTAAAAAAATTACCTGACAGTTTAATATCTCCTATTCGGATGATGTGTGGCCAGTGTTGCAGTGTTTTAGCAAAAAATGGATTCGTCACTCCCAATATGACAGAAGGCCTGAAATATGGAAGATTATCAATAAGATCAATAACCTCTGCATAGATTTAAAGTAACCACATTCCAGAGAAGCAGTCTGGATAGTCTGTTGTAGAAAACACCAATAGTAGCCTTGTGATGAACTGAAGACTAAGGCTTGGATCTACAATAGCCTTTCCATGAAGAGGAAAGCGCCTTTCATTTGTGCAAATTTATTTATTTTAAATATATACAATCATTTGACAATTATTAACAGTAATCAACAAAGCTGCTAAAGGGGGAAAAAACCCTTCAGGTCCACAATATTCTACAAGAAAATATGACATAATGTAAAATTACAATGCTTCTTTTAAAAAAGAAAGACAAAACATACTTGAATCTGTTTTTATGGGAGGCCATTACTTTCTTGACAATATTGTGTTAAGGGGCAACCTGCTTTCCCAGAATTTTATTTCTAGAGTCCCTTGCATTCTCACTCTTAGGTGTTATTTTTCCTATTATTGCCATATAGGATCTTACTGGATTTAAGAAATGTTTATTCTGACTAGGAGGACGTCTTGACAGTCCTGTAATCAGAATTTTTATTAGTACAAGTTGAAACTCTATATACTGGAATATATCAAAACATCAGCTGCTTTCTATTTTCCATCTCTCAACACGAGACTCCATTAAAACAGTTGACTGTGGCCTGCGATGTTACAAAACTGAAGGGCAGGGCTTTTGTTAAAGCTTCCTAGGCTGAGGTCCCTAGTCTACACGGATCCTTTAAAGTCAAGAGTTATGATTAAATGATGAGTCTAAATATCAAAACTGTATAATCCATTTTACTTACGGGGTCTGAGTACGAGTGGTATATTCTTTGAATTCACTGTCATGTATTGTAAAATAAGGCCTAAAATCACTATAGTACTTCAGAGGTGAGATACAGCTGTGAAACAAACACACAGAAGAAAAGTGTGTGAGTGAAAAGAGAGAGATTATTATAAATTTACTCAATAAATTATCAATTGGAGACAGGGTCTTTTCCATGATTTTGGAAAATCCCGTACCCAGGGATGTCAGCTTGGTGTCGACATTGTCCATTAGATGAAAAAAAGAAACTGTCTTGGGTTCTTACAGATAAATTTTGCTACATTGTTGCTATTTTACTACTGTCTTTCAAAATACATGCTACTGAACTGTTACCCTTATCCTAATAGAGAACATATTTTCCAAATGTGGATCCTTATGTGGCCAAAACAGCGTACTAGTTAGAAGTATCAGCAGACTAAATGAGTGCTGGGGGAGGGATGAATGGAGTGTCAAAGAAAAAAGCACAGCTGGCTTGCTGAAACCCTGAACAGTAACTCTCTACACTAAAACATTTTGTCCTTAGTCCCACTTGCTATTAATTTAATTCTATTTTTGAAGTGTTTGTAAGCTGCTTTGAACACCTCACTTATTTTCAAGAATACAGTGGTACCTCTGGTTACGAACTTAATTCGTTCCAGAGGTCTGTTCTTAACCCGAAACCGTTCTTAACCTGAGGCGTTCTTTCGCTAATGGGGCCTCCCTCTGGTGCGCGATTTCTGCTCGCATCCTGGGGCAAAGTTCGCAACCAGGAGCAGCTACTTCCAGGTTAGCGGAGTTCATAACCCGAAGCATGTGTAACAAGAAGCATGCGTAACCAGAGGTACCACTGTACTTTAAAGGTATTTGTTTAAAATTAAAAAGACATCAACGAAAGCTTTAGGGGATTAACTCCAAGTCTCCACCAATTGAAGTTATGGTAATCTGTCCTATTGGTTTCAGAGAGGCTTAAGTCTCGGGACATGGGGTCAGTTCGATCCAATACTGGTGGTGAAACACAATCCATGTCCTTCTGATATCCAATTGTGTCTATCCACAAGGAGAACAGATTTCTGCTCGCACAACAGTACTTCCTTCCTCTCCTTCCCCATGTAGACACCCCCAATGCCCCATAAATCTGGTCTGGAGGTTTGGGGGATGCTCAAGAGTAATTTTGGGGGCACACATGGAGGAAAGTCCAGCACTTCCAATCACACAATGTTGGATATCACTCATTATTTTGTAGCATTTGATAATACTAACTTCTCAGAAAAATTCACTGTAATTATTATTATTTAATCCACATTCCATGCTTAAAAGATAATGCAAATTACATCAGCTTGTGCAAGTAGGGTAGCAGGTGTTTCCTGAAGGTTTGGGGTTTGCACAATTTGTGGTTTTCTTTTAAGTGCCTTGGAAAACAAGAACCATTCTGGGTCACTAAAAAGGCAGAGGGTGAGGCTGGAAGCCCTGCGAAGACTCTTCTCAGACTATCAGCAATAACCCCCCCTAAAAGTATTAAGGTTTTGCATGCTTTTCAAAACTTTTCTTCAGTTTCGCAGGGGTGTTGTCGTTTTTAATGAAAACCAAGCCATTCCTAGGATTCTGCTAGAGCCTTCACATTCTGTGACTCATGGTGAGATCACAGTCATGCAGCTTTTTTGACTCCTCCATATGTTTACCTTACAAGTGCCAAAACGGTTTCTGAAGACTCCGATGGTGATGGTGCCATGACAACAAGCGGTTCCCCTAACAACACGAGCTCCCATAGCATCTGGATGTGAAAGAACACTGGCAAGAAACATCTGAAACAGATTTACAAGAATAGTCTTTTTTTTCTTTCCATTTTCTCTCTAGTTATAGCAGAGAGAGCAGGAGCAAAGAAAAAGAAAAGCAAAAAAGAGAGGCGGGGAGAAACATGCAACTGAAAATGTGACCTCGGCTCACAACCATCTTGAGAGTCTTAGATATGCCTGGCTGTTGAAGGGTGTAAAAAGGGAGGGACAGGAAAGCCGCAGATATAAAGTGTGGGTAGATCTACAGCCAGAGGCCATACAACTACAACTGTCCAGCTTTGGCCAGGTTATGTGGTGGCCAAAGACATAATTATTTCACTGTGTTGCACCTGTTATAAAGAGATCATAAAGGCGCTAAGATATTTGGACAGGGCTGCAGGAGCTTGGCCCAGCAGCAAGAAGAATGTGAGTACTTTCTCCCTTTACACTCTTGCAAACTGTATCCCTGAGAAATGGCAGAGCTTATATTAAAGGAGTAATGAAAATCTGTGTTCTCAATCCACTCAACAGAGAGACTGAGAGCACCAACGTAACATGTCTCCTCAGAAATAAGCCCCACCGGATTAAATGAGACTTACTCCCAGGTAAGTGTATACATATTTGCAGGCATATTAATAATACAGTTAAATTAATTGTCACAACATTTATAAACAATCCCCTCCCTTTGTATGTTCTAGATTACCAACAACACCTCGCTTATGCTCAATATCCATTTGCTAGGCAATGATTAAAACCCTCAGTGTTTGAAACTCTCTTTGATGGGGTACGACAGCTTCAGGGCTTCAGAAAGATTAAGCCAATATGCCTTTCAGTTTTTACCTGAAGAGATCAACTTCATGGACAGTAGGCAACGCAATGGAGACCTGTGTGTCTGCCTAAAAGCAAAACAAAAAGCTTTTGGTCAAATTAGCAGCAGATCATGCGATAAAAGGCCGGGTGTACTGTGCTACTTTTAAAATGATGATGAACTCTCTTACTAAATATATCGCAAATGTCTTGATTGGCCCTGCTCTCTTATGGCTGCTGTCTTAAGCGTCTCTCACCTACCCACCCGCTCCCAAGCTTTATGGAGCATCAGGGACCCTGCTACATCCACAGTCTATCATTCATGGCAGCTTGGGAGAAAGGCATGGGGCAGGCAGTAAGAACATTGTGCCAGCCTGGAGCACGATGGCAGGTAGATTGGCCCAGACCCACTCCATTTGGGGGCTTTGGCTGGCTCCCACTGGTACTTCCCACCTAAATGTTCAGTGGCTAGCAGGAGGCTTGGCCAGGAGAGCTGGGCAGAAAGATACCTCCGCTCATTCCATCCTCCCAATCTGAAGTAAAGGGGGGTTGGACTTCTCTGCCTGTTGCCTACAGTGACTAACATTCTCAGAGTTACTTTTTTCTCAGTGAATATTTCAATTGATACCCTGAACAGGGTTTCACAACTGCTGCTCACTGGGTCAACATTTTCAATGGGCTATCTACTTATAACCCCAAGGTTTTGTTATTGGTCATTCGCCACCAGTTTCATGAACTGGTGTTCCATATGTTCCATGAACATATATATGTGCAATTAACATTTTTAAAATCCAGCGTACATCACTTTATACTTGCTTACACTGTATTTTATTTGCCATTTTATGGCCTACCCACAGTTTGGAGAGATCCTTCTAGAACTCTCCACAATCCCTTTTTGGTTTAACTACCCTGAACAATTTGGTATTGTCAGCAAACATGGTTACCTCAACTACTCACCCCTCATTCTACATCATTACAGCTATGGTAGAAAAGCACACCTTACTTTTCTAAAGTAGGCTACTTCCTGCACACATCTCTCGTATCTCCCATCCAGGCATGCCAAAGGCCTTCTCAGAGGTCAATGAAACTTTTGAGCAAGGGGGAAGAAACCAACAGGGCCAGGGAGGAGTATGGGAAGAGTCATAAGAGCCAGATAGGGAGGCTTAGAGGGCCTCAATAAGCCACTGGCTACAGACCAAGGTCTACAGACCAAGGCTGTGCTGGAGGGATGATATGTTAATATATGAATTTTATGTTTTAAAGGGGCTTCAAATAACTTCTTAAGGTATTAAGGATTAAAGTAAGACACAGGGCTTGGAGGCAAGCTGTACTATGCTTCAGCTTTAACAGACAGAAAAGCTTATGGAATCTAATCTATGTCTGCAAAAAATGTTTGTGCAGATTTCCACTTTCCAATTCCTAGGCTACAATTTTGTACTTGCAGCTCTACAGCTAGTCCTCATTTACAGAACACACATTCCCTTATACTTAAGGTCTGGAAATGACATTTGAAAGTCAGCCCCTTGTTTTGATGGAGTATTTAAGTGGCAGGTGAACCATTCACACTACCTGCTGTGTGGACTGTAATACTTGGGTTGTTCCAGGATTGTCGTGGCAAGTAGGAATCCGCACCTTAGGAAACAGATATTATATGCTTGTATTAAGAATAATACAAATAACCTAATATGCTAAATTGACAAGTTAATAGAGGCATCAGCCACTTCTGAAAGCAATACTTAGCTAGAATTATATTGGTACAAATATTTATTATGAATGTTATTTATTAAATTTTGATATGACCCTTCATCCGAGGATCACAGGGTGGTTTACAATATAAAAACACAAAAATGTGTAGCATTGTAACAAACAAACTAAAATATTCTTCCCTAAAAACCATTGTGGTGGTGGTGTTTTTAAATGGTTGAAATGACCAAGAGCTATACCTTTGTCAATTTCAACATCCCAACCTATAGGTACCAGCCCTGTGTACATCTGAAGTCTTCAAAGAAATAATCCAAAGAACAAACAGGGAGACATACTGAAGCCACTATTAATTACTTAAGAGCAATAACAGAGAAGTTAATTTTAAAAAACAGAAGTAAATTAAGTAAATACTAACACAATGTCCATTTCATGAGTGCAGCTACGGGCCTGATCTAAATAAATACTCTTCAGTAATATGGATTTCAATAGGTCAGTGTAAATTACATGTTTAAATTACTCCCACTGAAATAATCCAGCTTCAGGAGAATAAAGAAAGACATGCTGACAAGTCTAAATATGATGGGGGAAATTCAAGTTCTAGGAATACCAGAATTTTCATACATATCCCTTCTTAACAAATACACTCTCTGCTCCTACCCATTATGTGAACCTCACAAGCATAAAATCAACGCAAACATACAGGGACTACGGTTTTGAAAAATGTTCATTGCATTGTTACAAAGCCACAGAATGAATTCATACAGCAAACAAGAAGGGAAGAGGCTCAGCATTACCTTCATTACAATGCCCATAATAGGCAAATGTAAGGTTTTTCCTGGGACTGGTGGTGGCCATCGATCAATATCGCTACAAGCTGAAAAATAATAATAATAAAGCAATAGGATTTGCATGTAAAAACAACAACAAACCCTCCCTTAACAAATATCTCTTAAGATTTGTGGTTTATGAGACCTACCAACAACCCACCCTGACCAAGGCTGCAGCTTCTGTTATGCCATATGGCTTCTCAGCGGGCAAACTGGCAACCCACACATGAATAAACACCTTCCATCCTACTGATCTTCTCGGCTGCATCCCCCCCCCATCTGAATGTCATATATTCATAGTGCACTGCAACTTTAAAAGGTCCCCCAAATGGCACAAATGTGCAGTTAAATGTAATTTGCAACAATATTACCAACCTGCTTCCAAGAAAGGTTCGTTTTTTTCAAAATATTCAGGTGCAATTTTTCCAAGCACGGTGTGAAAAATGTGGCTATAAGGCAGCTTGCTGATCAGAACCAAGGACTAGTACAGGAGAAAGAAAATAATCTGAAATTAAACTTTCCTCAAGCCAGTACTGGTATTTCGAGTTATAAATTAAGCATCAGTTCCTCACTAAATACTTATATTTATAATGCCTATAGTTAGCTGTTGTTTTTTATTCTGCTACAAGCAGTAACATTGCTCCTAACCTACACGATGCACCTATTATGTGACAATGTCTTAAAGACAGAGAAAGTCCATGGGGCAAACTGGGAACACTGTGATTTTGAGCAAAGAATCAGCAGGGATGGGTGATAATCTCTCCCTGTTTACCAATCCCCCTTCAGGGGCAAACAAAGGCTAACCGACACCTGGGGAGGGGCAAACCGCTGGCTGCGCATGCGTTGTGCTGCTACGTACGACGCATGCGTTGCTACGTACGACGCATGCGTTGCTATGTACGACGTGCGTAGCAGTTTGCTGCCAGCGCCGCCTGAGCGCCGTACAGGCGTTGGTGGGATCCTCTGCTCGCGGCTGCAGCAGTGGCAGAGGGATCCTCCTCTTGCGGCTGTAGCGGCAATGGAGGGATCCCACCACTGTCCGTATGGTGCTCAGGCGATGCTGGCAGCAAACTGCTACGTACAGCCCATGTGCGGTGTCGCTATGTACAGCACGTGTGCGACACCGCACATACGTTGTACGTAGCAGTTTGCCGCCGCCGCCACTCAAAAACCGTACAGACAGTGGCAGGATCCTCTGCTCGCGGTTGCAGCCACGAACGGAGGATCCTCCACATGCGGCTGCAGCGGCGCGATGGCTGCTCATGCTGCCATGCCCAGGGTGGCGGGGCGAGAACCCTGCGGGGGGTATTCTTATCAATCCCCCAGACATGGCACCCGGGGCGCACCGCCCCCCTTGCGACGCCACTGTCTCCCATGTCAAGTTGCAATATCCCCCTGCCCCGTGTTTCCCCCTGGGGGCTCAAGGTTTTTCTACTAACATGCATTTGGAAACTTGTGAATAACTAGATCTAAAAAGGAGAGATAAAATATGTTGTTCACTGCACTGGGGGTGGGCGGGCCAAAAAGCAAATATGGAAATAAAACCAGATTGTCAACAGTAAATCCAGCGAATCAACTACATAAATTGTAATCCAATGATTCCTTTACTTATCTCTAAGATTTTACATTGGATATATTACTTTGCATGCTGATTTTAGTCTGAAAATTAACAGCCAAGACCAAGGGCATTCACCTCTCATTCTTAAACACATTATATGATTTCAACAGAACTTATTTCTTTACAAAACTAGATTACCTTCTGGAAGTAGCCTCTTTTTAAGGTTTTGTCTTGTACTTGTCTGAAATATACATAACCATAATAATATGCAGGATCCTTCTGTAAAGAAAACAAAACCTTTACTGTTTTTAAAAAACAAATGCATTCCATAATACTTTACACTTTCTGAGCAATATTTCAACTTTAGGGCTGAGTCAATTATGTACAAAAATAAAATGAGAATAAGCCTCCATCTCCCCATAAGAGAATCAGTTTTCATATTTCATTTTGCTTAATGCTACATATGGCACTGTAAAAATACTTAGGAGTCTTCAACTCATCTGAATATGAAAGGTAAGAAAATCCATTGTTGTAACTTAGAAGCTATGAAATAAAAAATGCCTCCATCTAACTTGGGCTGTGATTCTAACTACCATATAGTTAAAATCTACTTCATCCATATATTTAAAATCTACTCCATCTACTTGGGCTGTGATTCTAACTACCATATATTTAAAATAAAATAAACTTTCAAATAAATATAATAATCATTCAAACTACTGAGATTTAAATTCTCTTAAAGGCTTAAATAGGTTACGAATAGTAAACAGTAATGGTTTACAACTTGGTGCTCCTGGAATCCTCTGCATTTTGCAACCATAGGGGTGTGCTGAATGTATTCTAGGGCATGTATATGAAACCTGTGGCCCTTCAGCCCCAGCCAGCATAACCAATACTCAGAGATAATGGGAGTCCAGCAATGTCTGGAGGATCACAGGTTCCCCATTGCTGCTTTATGGTCAACTGATACACAACTGAATGTTTACCATAGATACTCCTCTACAATAACCAGAAATTATTTGGCAGACAAACTGACAAAGTAAGGGTTTCCCCAAAACAGAACATTTGAAAACACTGTACATAGGAACACTGAAAACAAATTTCCAAAGGATGGAAGTATTTGCAGAAGATTAAATATGCTTTAATAGTTAATATTTGCTGAGAGGTGCCTCTTGAAGAACGGGTTTCAGAATGGACCTCACAATTTCATTATGAAGTATCAGCGCAATACTTGCTTGCCAGTTACAGAAAAGCACTACAGTATAATGTTTGGCCAAGTGAAGATAAGCTACTTTCCCAACCTTCAAGTAAATGGGTAGGTCTCTGTCAAACTGGTCCAGTAGACAATGCCATGAAAGCTTTCTGCTAGAAGACTGTCGAAATCTAAAACAAAATTGTGTGTCTCCAAGGCAACCTAAGCCAAAAGGAAAGGGGGGACACACACACACAAAGTAAATACAATCAATAAATACATTGACTGAAATGTCCCGTCATTTTGTGTCTAACAGCAGCTAGAGTGCATCAGTAGGAGAAAGTGTGGTGTAGCTGTGCTGTTTTCTTTTGAAAGACAGAGAGAGCACCCATACTGGGACAGCCAAAGCAGGATGCTGTGCTTCTCCATTAGACCAATATAGCAGCATACTATGGTTTTTGCAAAGTCTAACTTTCCTCTCTTGGCAGAAAGAGAGCGTGCACACACAATACACATGCTTAGTATACACCAAGAGTGGGTCCATTCCTGCCTGTCTACACTAATATGCATTAGAGGTTGAACAGTACTGGAGTTCCTACCATTGCTGTCCAAACCACAGGAAAATGGGGAAAGAGTTGCAAGCCCTGGTTTGAATAGTTGAAAAAGAGTCATTGATAAATCTCCTGTCTTAGTTCTGCAAAGTTTCCACAGGCAGTATTCATGTGGTGTGGCTTCCTGTCCCATTGCCCAGCTTACATTCTGTGCTTAAACGGGGATCGCCGAGAGCTGCCACGGTATTATTACCAGTTAAATCAGGGGTGGGCAAATAAGGTCTGCGGACTGGATCAGGCCTAATTGCCCTCTGGATCCAGCCTGCGGACGGTTGGATCGGCGTGATTGCCATTTTTTTCACGATTTCCCCCCTCCCTCCCTCACACACACCGCAACGGCGCCTCCTCCCTTCCTCTTGCTGGCTTTTCCCCACCCTGCGGAGGAAGGCGCCTGGGCTTTAATAGGAAGCCTCGCCACCCACCCAGGGAAAGCTGGCACGGAAAGGAGAGGCGCCGGTGCCGGCTCCCAACCACAGGCAGAGCAGCAGAGAAAGTAGGCAGTAGGAGGGGAGGGCTGGGGATAGAGGGGGAGAGAGAGAAGCCCCCTCCGCCCTGAGCACTCAGTCCGGCCCACCAAAAGGACTGGGGGACAATGAACCGGCCCCCTCCCAAAAAAGTTTGCTGAACCCTGTGTTAAAGCAACTATATTTGCACTCTCTGCAGCAAAAGCTTTCAGGAAAGTACTTTGTACGAAGCACCATATTTAATTCCATGCAATTTAAAACTGTGGCTCCAGTGGCGCAGGGACATTTTACCCGAAAAAGGTTTAGGAAATACTAACAAATTTGTATCTGGAACTATGCCATATTGAAGTAATTACAAACAAAAAGAAGTAGATAAACTGTTTAAACTTCTACAAAAAAAATTATTGTTTCTCCCATCTCTTACTGCCAGTGGCTCAGTATAATGACCATTCTGTTTTCCATGCTCTACACTTCAGAAGCGGAACAAAGAGTATTAAGTACTTGATGGTTTATATAGTGATAATGCTAAGCTAAACAAGATATTGATTAAGAACTGCAAGGATATATATACACTATCTTAGTACGAGAGCTGGACTTTGAACTATTTATCCAACGGGCTGGGCAATCTTTGGGGCATGTGTATAGGCATTTTTTAAAAATACATTTGATTTTTTTTTAATATTCAGAAAAAAGCTAGGGGACAACAAAAATGTACACATAAGGGTAAAAGCTCATCATTTAAGGTTACAATTATTTACACTACATATTGATTCACAAAATTCCATATTCATACTCAAATTTCCATCTCTAAGGTTCTCCATTTAATATTTAACTGTAACATTAGCTCAATATTAAGAAATTATAGCAGCAGCAAACCAGGATCTTCCTTCAGTAAAATGCTGATCCAAAACAGGTTATTGTTTTGCTAAAGAGCAATCATAGAGACCTTGATTCTTGGGGTGAGAAATCAACTTTAAAGGGAAACACAAGTTGTAACTAACTAATTTTTGTTGCAATACTGGCATAAAAAGCTGTAGCTAGTAATGTGTCTTAAAAGAACTATTCAACAATAAATTGAATAGGAGAGTTACATGTAATTTGATCAAGATTCCCCAGAACATTGTTAATGCAGTATCATACAAACTGGCTACTACATCACAGGGAACTGATTATCCAATTTTAAGGCAAAAAGCAACTTCAGTGCTTAGAGACTATAAAGAGGAAAACTTTCCATGTGATGGAGTGCAGGATTACACAAGGTTAACTAAAATACAAAATTATAAAAGTTAATTATTGGTTTGGCCAGAGCCGAAATCATGGAAGGACCTTTGCAGGCCAGTGTCTCTCAACCCTTTCCTTTATAAAAAGAAAAGAAAACCAGCTTAGAAAAAAACAACGACAAAATAGGCCTCTAGCCCATTTGCTTAGAAAGAAATAATAGCATAAATGTAGCTAGTAGTATACCAAATTGCTCACTAAAATAGAAAGCACACATTCGTTGGAATGGTTGTCCATTAAGGCAGCACAGCATGGGGAGGCAGGCTGATGCCAGACTATGTTTCCGCCAGATTCACGGCCCATTTCTGCTCATACCTAGGAATTCCAGATCCATACTCTTTTGCCATCAACGTGCTCTGCCATGTCCTACAACCACACCCAGGGAACCTCCAGACATACGTGTATTATGTAACCGAAAACATAAAAAGAAATGTGAGAACTGAATCAACAGTGCTGATTCTGAACGACAATGAGATTATGACTAAGGTTGGCGATACCTGTTTTCATAAAGAAAAAGCAAGTATAATATAGGTGCTGAACATTTTAAAACAAATAAATAAAACAGCCAAACTTAACCACCTTATAATTTAAAAGAATTTATTTCTTTTTGATATTCCAACATGAAAAGAATATCCACGTATAAAGCATGTACCGTAGTCCCCAACTTACGCAGGGCTTATGTTCTGGAGATTGCGCCTAAAGCCAAAATCATGCATAGTCAAAACACACTGAGTGCAATGGCAGGTGGGATTGTCAAAGTCATTATTCCCAGAATCTTGCCCCCTTTCCAGTTTTTCTTGTTTTTTAAATTGCCATGTGCATAAAGCTGAATGTACACAAGTGAAATGTCCCTAAGTTGCTGGCTTTCTGTAATGTACTTGTAGGTAAGCACCTAGTTATGCAATGGGAGTCTGGAATTGCCCAAAACCAACCACACTGAAAATATCACAGACTATTGCAAAGTGATAAAGAGAAAAAATGCTGTTCGCTACTGAGTGCTATTTTTCAAATCCTATCCATGGGGCCTCCAGTTTGAAATGTTTTATTTTGCTTGAATTTACTTTGTTACTTTTTTTTAACAAAAAGAAAGATCAGAGCTGAACATGTATTTGATACCTATACATAAGACTGCGTTAATATCTCAAAAGCACTTTAACACTTGCAAATCCTTTTACATACTGGACGTAATCCAGTCAAAGTTAAGCACTTTGAAGTCCCATTGATTTCATTCAGACATTTAAGCAAGTGTTTAAAAGCAATGGGACTTCAAAGTGCTTAATTTTGAAGTCCCCTCCCCCCGCCAACAGCAGTATGGAGTTCTATAGTGCAATCGTAACCTTCCACCCCACCCCAGGATGTTGATGGCTGCTTTACCCTGTCATTGAGAGAGCTACCGCTGGCTGTTCAGCTGCTGGTGGCAGCTAGTGGAAAGTCCTGAAATGGGGTAGTGCCACAGCAACTTTGAATCCAAAGGACCCAAAGCCCTGCAGATACCCTGAAGGGCCAGATACTCAGACCCCTCAGCTATGCCAGCCTTGATTTGAATTCTCCATGTAGGACAAACAATAAGTATTTAGTTTTTTCCTATCGCATGCCTTACATTTTCACTTAATAAAATTGAACATTAATTAGAATGACAATGCTATTAACAGTACAGTTCTATCTTAACAGAAGCATTTCATTTTTCATATGCGTACAGCATGAATATCTAATAAATAATTACCTGAATTGGAATCTGGGAAAGACAAATAGCAAATATTGGTTTTCTAGGGGAGAAAAATAGAAGTTACATTTTGGCAGGAGAAAAGTGCCATGGTAAATGTATTTTAAAATTTCTACTCACCTCTTTATCTGTAAGTTTTGCATGTTGAGGATGTATTACCTGCAAATGATAAAACTTGCATTGGTCGACAAAAAGATGGTGCAATCTACCAGCATTATGAATTGTGCAAAGTTATATGCACCTGTACCCACATATTCTCATAAATGGTGGGGTATGCACTTCTAGACAGCAGTCCCAATCTAGAGATTTCAGGGTTTATTCACAGCAGCTTTGCAAGGGTTTGCATACATCCAATAGATTTTTTTCTTCTTGACCAGTCCCTTCACTTTACACTGCAAACAGCATTTGGAAAGTTCAAAATCCAATCCATTACATAAAGGCAGCAATGATATCCAGGAAACATCAGGAACGAACTCCATGCATTTCCCCTGCAAACATTTTTGGCTTGTTCATTCCTGCTTATATCATCCATTTTTGTTAATAAATCACAATGCCTTACCTTCCAAGGTACATGGTATTACCTGGAACACAAAGAACTCTTTCCAGCTATTTATAGCTCTGTGCAGTTGAGCTGAACCTGTTACACTTATATCCATTTATATCTTTCTTATATTATGATGTACTTTCAACTGATAATACATGCTATAGCTCAACTGCAGATTAGGGATCAGGAATGTGCCAAAGACTCCCCTCTCGCTTACCATTTCCCTCCTTAATTTGCAAGTTGCTCAAGCTATAGCTCTCCATGATCTTGAAAGAAGGCAACGATGGTTAGTGCTATCCTACGAATGCGTTGTAAACCGATTTAAAACAATAGTTATAAATATTTTTTTGGATGTTACCATTGTGTACATTCCAAACCTCCATAGTTTCAAAGACAGTCACTCTAAACTGAACCAAAAAGACCATATTGCATTACAAGATTTCAGTTTACCAATCAGAATAATGGCTTGCAAGCGTTTTGTCTTTTGGATGTTCATTAGTTAACATTAGGTCCAGGGAACTTCCAGTCCATGAGCCTAGCTAGACACTCACCTGCCCTAGACCTAATGATTGCAGGGTTTGCAGCCATTCCTGATCAGCTGACTCTCTGTGCCTACAAACCATTTGTGCCTTTGCCCATGAAATGTGATTTCAAAGTGCAATGGTAAAGGAAGCAGAGTTTGCAGGAACTGACCATCATCTGATCAGGCAAAATTTGTTCCTTTTGCCCACATGGTTTGATTTCAAACAGCACAGGCAAAGAAAAAAGCTTCACCTGATGTCAGGTAACTGACAGGTGAGTGGCTGCACCCACCTGTCAAAATTGCCCACAGTGGTTGGGGGAGGCCATCCACTTCCTCAACCCTGCTTACCATACATTATCATTTTAAGGAGTTCAAGATAATGTGCCGGATGTATATAGGCTAGCTAAGGCTAAAAGTGTGTTTGCTTTGGAATTTGTCGGCTTTCGATTCTACAGAGGGATCTAAAAGGATATCAGTATTTAAATGGAAAGTGCCACAGTGCATTTTTAAAATGTTTGAAGAATCTAAAACTTACTTTTGAATAAATGTAAACATTTACATTTCTGCCATGTGAAACACATTAATTTAGTTCATTTGAATCACCTATTCCTTCAAGGAGCTAGAGAGACATATATGCAGTTATCATGTTTTAGTTATTTAGTTATTTATGATTTCTTAAATATACAGTGGACAGTGTTGTCGAAGCTACAAACATGAGTCTGACCAAACTGCGGGAGACAGCGGAAGACAGAAGTGCCTGGCGTGCTCTGGTCCATGGGGTCACGAAGAGTCAGACACGACTAAACGACTAAACAACAACAACAAATATACAATACTAGAATCATAGAATTGTAGAGTTAGAAGGGACCCAATCTAGTCCACCCCCTGCAAGGCTACTCTTTTTGTTGTTTCTTGCTGTTATTATACTTGTTTCAGGGTTACCTAGTGAGCTTCATAGCTGGGCAGGAATACACATCTTGAGTTTTCTAGATTCAAATTTAACACTCCAATGACCATTGCACGCTAATTTTCTCAAGAGGAGACAAACAACTGGAGGTTCTTTCTCTTTCAGCCACTGCTAGCAAGAGGTAAAAAATAAACAAATGAAAATGCCCTAAGTTAATCAGTTCTTTTGCGGCGGGCGGGCGGTGCTACATGAATAGATTTGGAACTCGGGACTGTGGTCTATGATCATAAGACACGCACAATTTTGTTAAACTGGATTATCATACTGAACCTATTCCAAATAAATTAGAGTTATAGAATCCATTATTTTACAGGATACTTCCCCCCTAGAGTGAAAAGTTTGGGACCAGCTGTAATCTATTATGTATATCTTAACATGATTGGAGTTCAGAAAACACAAATCACACATAGGAACTAAGTCTTTTATGTGCCCTGTGACACTACCTACCTCTAAAGACGTGGCAGGATCCGTCCCTACCTTCTTTCAGAAGTCTTCTGTCAACTGTACTCTTTAGACAAGCCTTCAGAATATGATTTTTTTTATTTTTAACCAGCCAGTATCTACTGATGTTTTATTGATACGTTTCATTATGTTTTATGGATATTTATAGACTGCCTTTATTGTAGCTGGATAGCACAGCTGCTTACAGCATGGTTGTTGATACCACCAAGGTTGCAGGCTTGCTTCCTGTATGGGGCAGCTGCATAGTCCTGCATTTCAGGGAGCTGGACTAGATGATCCTCAGGGTCCCTTCCAACTCTACAATTCTGTGATTCTATTTTTTTTTGCCTTGATATATTTTATGAAAGTGTGGATTATAAACAGTTAAATAAATAATCACCCCCTTACTTAATACAAACTGGTGAAGGCCAATGAAAACTGAAGATCAGGGTGCATGTAGATAGATGACAGTGTCTTATGTACACTGGATATGAACCGAACTCCAACAAAAACTATTGCAGAACAGACTTGCCCCTCACTTGAGTTCAGATATGGCTTTTACACTTCCCAGGCTCACTGAACAAACACTAATATACCATGATGCTGTGACCACTGTAATGGCCCTTTACAATGAAGCTCACAGTGTAATGATCCTCAGCAATGAAGTATAGCCTTGGGCTTATCACCCTCGGCTGGCTTCTCCTAATGCACCCCATCAGTCGAAGCCCAAGGGCTTTCACTTGCACAACACAGCCTCCCCTTTCTCTTCCTCCTGTGTGCCCCAAAATTGACTGGGTCATGAGAAAAAAGGCACTGGGATCATTCCATCCAGAAAGATGCAATGCTTGCACATATTGAAGTCCACCCCATGCCTCCCAAGCTTACCTTGCCTCAAGAGCTGTTAGGGTGGTTTAGAGTTATCTAATTTTTATAACTGAGTTTTTTGGAGAACTGATGAGGAAAATTATAAGACCCAAATATCACAATTAACCTTGTATTTTGCTTCCAGTCACATATTACATTTGATACATGGAAAACAAACCTTGGACTCAAAAGGTACTTGGGAAAGGAGTCTGGGCGGAATACAGTAGCTACTTTTCCTCAAACAAGCCAATCTTGAAGGAACTTTTAACAAGCGCGCTGTTTTTCATTTTATTTCTTTTGCTATCACTTTCGTTAGCAGCCTCCTTTCCCGCTCTCCAAACAACGGAGCCTCTTGGACAAGGAAAGTAGAGGCTCTTGAGAGCAACAGCAACTGATAAAAGGAGAGCCGCCCAAACTCCGCACATTTCAAAACACGTTACACGCGTCTTCTTTTGCTGTTATTACGCGGAGCAAGACCAGCAAACGGGGGGGGGGGGAATAGAGACACCCTCTTCTCTGGAAGCAGCAGTACTATTATCCTGAATAACGCGCCAAAAAAGCGATTAAGAGCTGCTGTATCAACAAAGACAGCCGGGTGCAAAACACAAGGAGCTGGCGACCGACCCGCAGCGCCCCGGGGAGATGCCGGGAGGGTCTCCACTCCATCCTCGGGGAGCTGCGTTCCCACGACCCGTGTCAGCCCCCGGGCAAAGGAAACGAGCCAGCCCCGCCTTTGCCTGCCCTCCTCCCCACCTGCAGCCAGAACCCGCCGCATCTCTCCTGGTGGGAGGACGCGGTCCGAAGGGCTTCCCCGTCCCTTCCCCGCTCACCTCCACCGCCTGCCCGAGCTCCAGGTCGAAGCCCACCACGCACACGCAGTGCAGCCAGGCCGAGAAGCGGTCCCAAGGCAGCAGCGGCATCAGGCGCCCGCCCGGCGCGCATTCCGGGAGCTCCCGAGCCTCCTCCGGGGAGCCCGCCCGCCTCGCGCTTCCGCCGCCGCCATCGCCCGGCTTCCGCAGGGACATGGCGATTGGCGGCGCCTCACCGAAACGGCCGCCGGCACCCGAGCAGCAGCCGGATTCCCCCTCACTTTCGCCCTAAGCCGCCGTGCAGCCGGTTCTGCCAGAAACCCCGAGGGAGGGCCACGTGACGCGGGTCTCTGGGGCCGCGGCCGCCCCTAACCTCCCCCCTCCCGCTCCTCTATGGGAACGTCCACAGCGGACCGAGAAGAGGGAGGTGGAAGAGTCCAAACGAGAATCATAGGGGTGGAGACAAGCAGAGGGGAGGAGAATAGCCCTTTGGCGGCCGCAGGGAGGAGGGAGAGTATTTAGTCCGTCTTTGGAGGGGGTGTAGGAAGCTTCTTCAATGGATTTTTTTAAAAAAACAACAAACAACCCTCCCAAAGAATATGCTGTGTTCACTGGGTTGGTGGTACAGACCCTCAGGGGAAGGAGTTTTCCTACGCATACTTTCAAATCTGCCTTTTCCCCACCCTGAATACCCAGCCATAGAGCGTTCCAGGCGCTTCTCCGGTTATATTTAGCTCAAGGCCCTTTAAAACGGCAACTTTGTTGGCGTAAGGCTGGGAAGCACTTTAAGGTCATGACATCTGATCCAGTCCTATGCACTGAGGCAGGCTTCTCTTCCCCATTCTGGTATTATACACAAACACACACACACACAAACGATTTTGACTTTGCTTTAATGAAGCCAGAATAACTACAGTTCTCTTCTATATTTGCAACCAGGAACATTAAGCAGAATTCTAACTGCATAATTCATGTGCAACCCACATTTGCTTATTTAGGGTACAGTATTTGCTACCTTGCTCTTCTGTCCTCAAAGGGTTTTCCAAGGCAACTTACAAAGGAACTTTCAATATAACAGCAAACAAAGCTTTTTATTACCCTTTAAGCTTTCTGGGTGGTTTATAAAATACGTTACATCTTTATCTGCAGGAATTGATCCTGACTCTATATCGACACCTATATATTTTCCTCCCCAATTTGAAGGTGCAATTTTTAATACTCATAGGGATGGGTAAATTCCATCCTTCCCGCTGCTATACTTCTCTTTGATTTGGGATGCATCTATGCAACTGCTATGAACTCCCCCCCCCCCACTCACTCCATAAGATCCCTGTCACAGATCTGCACCCAAGCCTAGGGTAGCACTGAAATTGTATCTGATCTGGCACCAATGGAAGCTTTTCTCCTGACACAAACAGCAGGCACTAGGATTTGGGATGGGGGGGGATTTAACTTTGTTTGCATTTTAGTGAGATACTACCAAATTTGCACTTCCCAAATGAATATGAGAACCAAAACACAGCCATCCTTAGAAATCCGTACTTCTCTGAATTTTGTGATGTAGAGCTGTCCAGGGTTTCAGACTGAGGTCTCTCCCAAACCAACTTGGAAATGCCTCAGATCGCCTCTCCCCATATGAACTGACCTGGAAACTGCAATCATCATATGAGGACCTTCTTTGTGTGCCTCCTCCATGAGAGGTCCAGAGGGAGGCAACATGAGAACGAGCCTTTTCTGTGGTGGCTCCCCACTTTGGAATGCTGTCCCCAGGGAGGCTCGCCTAGCACCATCATTACACATCTTTAGGGACCAGGCAAAAACATTCCTCTTATCCCATGCCTTTGGCTAATTAAATAATCTATGGCCTTTTAAACTATAGAGGGGTATTGTTCTTGTTTGTTATTATGGTATGTATTTTTGTGTTTTTATATTGTAAACCACCCTGAGATCTTCAGGTGAGGGGTGATATAAAAACTTAATAAATAATAGTAATAATAACAAAATAATACCAGGGATTGAACCTGGGAGCTTCTGCATGCAAACCAGATGCCGTCCTATGTAGCTGCACAGTTTCCCTAAAATAGAGCCAATACTTATGGCTTTCTGGCTTTCCTCAGTTCAAAATTGGGTCATTAAATAATATAAATGATTGGCTAGCCAAGCACATACATGATTATATAGAGCTGCTCTGGGAGCCAGATGAGGGGGGGGCATTTTGCTTATCACCAATGTAAAGGTGTTAGGGCAGTTTCACAAGACACAAAAAGAGGGTGTCCCCCCACCATGCATATTCTGTAAAGTGATTTTTAAATTCTACACTAACTAATGTAAGTTTTATAATCACATTACAGAACTTTCATTTGGAGCTTCAAAGATTAGCTGTATCAATTTTTCAACAAGCAGATGATTGAATTAAACATTGAATAGTTGCTCTGATAGTTAGCTTTGAGGAAGAGCTCTAATAATTTATTTATTTATTTCATTTTACATGGTAAAGGTTAAAAAGAGCTTTGACATATTTTCCATGAATGAACATGCACATGAAAACCAGGAAATTGCACCTCACTATGTCTCCTGGTAGTTCTATTTCTTGGGGATAAAGGTACTGTCAGCCTTTAGCATTATGTAACCATTAATTGCATTCTAATTATTAGCTAGATTAAAACTAGTTAGATTAGTGCCTTGAAGCACACGTCTATGTTTTCTCTCTCTTCAATCTAGACTTATATTCTGGGGAAGCTTTCACAAGTGATCCTAATAACATATTTTATCTGGAATGTGTCCCTTGTAGATGTTTCTACTGCAAATAGAAAATGCATTTTAATCAAATGTACATTCTAGCCTTTGTAAGTTTTACAATTACCGGTAAATTACTTATATAAGCGATGGAACAGTGTGAAATTAAAGCTGCCTATAGGGGGCTACTCTCGACTATGAGAACCTTTAACTCCTACAGAATGTGCTAAGGTTGTGTCAGAGACTGTGATCCAAAGCATGTTTACTCACAACTCCAATGGAGCTTGCTCGAAGTAAGAGCATTTAGCGTTGCAGCCTGAGCCAGGCTTCTCATACAATGTTTTGTATTTGGGTGTATAAACCTGATTGCAAAAATTGGCAGTTGCAAAAGGTACATATTATTCACTTGTTGTGATGGCCACTAACTGAATGGCTTGAAAAGACAAATTAATGGGGGATAAGTAGCAGCGACTAATTTTGATAGCTATAAATTATCTTCAGAATCAGAGGCATGGTGTGTCGGAATATCCTGTCACTGGGGAACAACAGCAGGAAGCTATTGCTCTTATGCCATACCTGTGAGCTTACCATAGGCATCTGGATGCTGAATTAGATAGGCCTTTAGTCTGGTCCAGCAGGGCTCTTTATTAATTTCTGTGTTAATTTTATTCAAACAAGAATTACAAATATAGTCAGTGTTATAGTTTGAACTGACCTTAAGATACCTGAGAAGAAGTGTCACTGAATTCAGTAGGACTTGCTTCTGGCTAAATTACACTGTATATATTTGGCTTTTCCAACTAGGAAAATAGCTAAAAATTTTATTTAAATAGCTTCACTATTTTATTTATTTGCTTACAAAAAGGAAGGTTTTATTATTTGGGTCTGGAAAAGGTAACCTGTATGGAAGTAATCACTCAATTTATTCTGCATGCTCATAAAGGCTTTGTAATTGTGTTTCTCAAACAAAATCCGTTGCTTATGGCAAATCTCTTGAATTTTAAAGCAGTTTGTGATACGGCATTGGGGTCTGCTGTTCAAAACAAAATAAATGATTGGGCATGTCCAAACCCTTGAGTTCCCCAGCCTAACATATCTATTTGGATTCCTGCCACTTTGTAGACTTCAGGGTTATCATTCAGAAACAGAAGAAACAAACACGTCACACTAAAGAGCTCAAGAAACAAACACCCCTACAATGGTTGTTTTCAGTTTATATATTTATAATGCAGCTGAAGGCAATTCAGTTATGTTTATAAAAATATACCATTACAAACAAAAGCCTCCAATCCTTTGTGCACTGGATTCTGAATAAGCATATACAGGATTGAGCTGCAACTGTCATAGTTGCCATAAATTAATTTAGCTGCCCTGAATCCATTTTTTGTGTATATCCCACTCCACCACAGGACAATTGCACTCTCATCTCATATTCAATATCTCATATCATAAGAGCACTGCCACCATATCATCAACATCATAAAATATCTTGTGAACCACCCTGAGATCTTTGGATAAAGGGCAGTATGTAAATTTAATCAGAATAAGAATAAAATATTACCCACCCATTTAAAACCACAATATACCTGCTGAAAATTGAGAAGCAGCAGTTAATTTATCATAAAGGTAAAGGGACCCCTGACCATTAGGTCCAGTCGAGACCGACTCTGGGGTTGCGGCGCTCATCTCGCTTTATTGGCCGAGGGAGCCGGCGTACAGTTTCCGGGTCATGTGGCCAGCATGACTAAGCCGCTTCTGGCGAACAAGAGCAGCGCACGGAAACACCGTTTACCTTCCCACCGGAGCAGTACCTATTTATCTACTTGCACTTTGAGGTGCTTTCAAACTGCTAGGTTGGCAGGAGCAGGGACTGAGTAACGGGATCTCACCCCGCCTCGGGGATTCGAACCGCCAACCTTCTGATCAGCAAGTCCTAGGCTCTGTGGTTTAACCCACAGCGTCATCCGTGGCCCCTAATTTATCATAGCCATTAATAAAAAGCAGATCAAAATAACTTCTATGTTCATGTCCAAATAATGGGGTCACAGCAGGTGGTGCTGTGATCCAATCCACTGAGCCTCTTGGGCTTGCTGATCAGGTCGGTGGTTCGAATCCCCGCAACAGGGTGAGCTTTGTGCACTCTGGTTTCAGTCACAGTGTTCCATTGTGCCAAAGCGGTTTAGTCATGCAACCTTTTTACCTGTTGGGGCCTATGTGTATTTCCTGGGTGAGGGAATTCCTTAGGTACAGGGTAACCAGCAAAAAGGACCTGTTTCCTTGGTTCCAGAGATAATCTATCCAGAAAATTTCACTCAGTGATTGTAAAATGGTGGTGGTGGGGAACCTGTGGTTCTTCAGATGTAGCATGGCTAATGATGGGAACTTTCTCAGCTCTGCTATATGGGATCCTACAATATGGATATGCTAGAGCAGGCTCCCTCAAATTCGGCCCTCCAGATATTTTTGGCCTACAACTCCCATGATCCCTAGCTAGCAGGACCAGTGGTCAGGGATGATGGGAATTGTAGTCTCAAAAAATATCTGGAGGGCTGAGTTTGAGGAAGCCTGTGCTAGAGACTCAACCTGGGAATGTACGCATACAAACATGTGTTTTTACCACTGACCTATGACTGCTCCCCAATTACAATATTTTCTTGAGTGATTATACGCAGGTGGGAGGGATCAGGT